CAATCTTTTCCTCAATCGCTTCCTGATAATTTTATTAAGCAACATGGCATTTAAGGTTAGCGCAAGTGATAGTGTTGAATTTTGGAACCTCCCAGGGTTGAGGGAGTCTAATACTAATTTTTATAACTATTGCAAAAGGTAATAAAGGTAACACCTTTTGGTTGTTCAGAGTATTTATTTCATAGTGATTTTTGGAGTCGGGGCGGGAGTACTGGGGCTTGAACCCAGGTGCACTTAACTACTGAGCCACATCCCCAGCTCCTTTTATTTTTGAGACAGGGTCTAAGTTGCTTTGGGCTTCTCCAAGTACTTTGGCTGGCTTTGAACTTTCAAGTCTCCTGCCTCGGCCTTCCAAGTCACTGGGATTATAGGCATGCACCTCTGTGCCTGGAAGGTGAGTGATTTTTTTTTTTAAATGCAGAGGACAAAAAGCAGGAAGCTAAGATAATGAAACTCTAACTGAATCAAGTCCTTCTCCTGCCAGTACTGGGGACTGAACACAGGGGTGCTCTACCAGAGTGACATCCCTAGTCGTTTTTTATTTTGAGACAGGTTTCACTAAGTTGCCTTGGCTGGTCTTGAAAATGAATGCTCCTGCCTCAGCATCCTGAGTGCTGGGATTACAGGCCTGCGTCACTGCTTCCAACCCCAACTGAATCAAGTTTAATGAGTGACAGTAAATACTACTTTTTAAAGCTGCTGCTTAACAAATCATGCCTGTAGTAGTTGGCTTAAAATAAAGTTTGTTGTTCATCAGCATTAATAATCGTTAACATACAAGACATCACTGCTTCAAGTCAGAGTTGGACCTGATGGTCTGTGACTTTGACAATAAAAAGGCAGAACCGCTTACTGGGTCAGGGACCTTTACACATAATTAACTGTAGTGGATTTCAGGCAAGGTTTTCAGGCTTTAACTAAATCACATTCTTACAATGATGTCCTCACTTATGGTGTCCCAGTGACAAAACTTGGGAACTTTTCTCCGTGGCAGACACATGCAGCAGCATGTTTAACCTCACACAAAAATTCATCAAGAATTTTTAACCTCACACAAAAATTCACCCCAGAAACCTAGAATTAGAATATTTTACACTTAAAAGCCGTATGTGCAAATTTTCTGGAAATTTCTAGAGCCAAAACAAAGCAATATGAAAAAGAATGCACATCATGTTTGTAATATGCTTCAACAATTGCTCGTTTATAATGAAAATTACTTTTCATCTAAAATTGCATTTTTTATAATGTGTAATACTCCTCCCTTTCTTCTTTCCAATCCTTTTGCAGGCTTTTTTTTGTTAAAAAATGAGTATCCTTAGAATCAAGTCATAATTCTAATAACATTTGAAAGATACATTCATTTTCTTTACAGCATGAAAGACATACAAATATCATTTTATCCCTTTTTAACAATTAAAGTTAACATTTTCAACTTTTTTCCATAGAAAAATATTTTCTATATCATTTACACAACAACAGATAGGAAAACTCTGTTACAGTGTTTAACTAAAACTTTTGTGAGCTAAAGAAGGCTTTCAAACATTTCCATTCTTGTACTGGAAATTTTAAAAGGTTTCAGGAAGTTAAATGTTTGAACTCTTCCCTAAAATTGTAGCTTTAACTTGTAAGATTGCTAGTAACTTTCACTTTGCAAATTAAAAGAAAAATTTGTTTATTTATGCACTGAAATATGTCTAACTAATGCAGACAGATTACACCCAAGTAGATAGTACTATGGCTGACCACTTAGCTTGGATGACTAAAATAAAAACAATTGTAACTTAAATTTCAGAAATCAACAATATACTAGAGTAGAAAAACATAAAAATAAATAGCAGCAAATTTATATATAGAAACAAGTAGTATTTTGTTGTCTACCCAAAACAAATTCACCAATATTGTGAAATAAAAGTGTCTAATTTTGGGCAGAAATAGGGATTGCTATTTCTAACAACATCAAAAGGCTTATAATAATAATTGCTACTAAAAAATAGTTGAAGACTGCATATAATAATGTTGATAATTGTTGTAGGCATTGTAAAGAAAACTGAACCCCAAACATACAATTTAGGAATTCATTTCTTGGGCTCTTCAAATTGATGAAATATCGATCAGCAAGCAGCCCTCAAAATGCTTTAGGATTAAGAAAATTCCTTTTATCTATATGTTTAAGACTTTTATAAAATAGTTGCTACAATTTGTATAGTGACCACACTGAGACACTAATAATAAATCTTTGCCAACAGATCGGTAAATCCAATATTTGATGAAATTAACCTAGTGGATTGTAAAAACAGAGCTATTTCATTTGGAAGAAGCACCACAACAAACAGTTCCAGAAACTGTGGTTGTATAACTGAAGCAAATGTGGGAAATAAGCAATCTTCATATGAAGTACTCAGTTTGTTTATGTGGCAGCTTATATAAAAGCAGGCTATGGTATCACTCATATACATCTTGTCATATCAAGATGTTTATTCAAACAAACATTTACCATAATGTACTTACTACAAGTGACTTTAAATGCAAATTAATCTGAACTATGAAAATTACTACCAAATGAAAGAACCTGTAAACATATCCCACATTATTATAACTTTTATGAATTCAAAACTACTTTGGCAACCTTACCAATAGAATATTTTAAATATTTTCAAAATACAGATATTAAATAGCACATTGTTATAAATTCGTATTCCCTTCTCCCTTCATGATCAGATTATAAGACAAATAATGCTTTTATTTCTATTACATGTTCACATAATGAACATAAATTATTTCACTATAAATGGACATACATTTAAATCTTAGTTCTGTGTTTTAAGTGTTTTTAAAAATTAGTCTTCTACTTGCAGTCCAGAATGCTTTTATATTGCATTTGTATCAGCCTCAATACTTCACAAAAGCTTATGTTCTCTGACAGGGAAGCATGAGTGAGTCAGGGTCCTAATTAGGATCACTACTGCAGCCTACTTATTTTCTAACTTAAGCGACATCTCCTAAGGTTGTCATAGTTATGAAGCAAAAACACTGAGTATGCTTCTCAAGTTGAAACAGACTAAAATTCACAAGAATTTATGATATTCACATAGGTTACAATTACTGAAGTTCTAGTATAACATAGAGAACACCATATTGAGAATTAGGAAACTTAGACTGTACAAAATGAGACTTTGCTAAATCAATTACTGTTGCTGGGTTTCTGTTTCCTTGCTATAATAAGGGAAGTGGAGATTGGGGGAAAAAAATCTTTCCATCTTCTTTCTGCTCTCAAGTTGTACTTGAGACAGGAGACAAGACTTTTTTCTCAAATTCCTGATTAGACCTGATCAGACCTGCTAACTGATGCTCAAGACCTTGTACTTTAAACAGTCTGTTCTTCCTGTTTGTGGGCATTAACTTTAACGAAATGTGTAAACAAATGCACTAAAGTATCTCTATGAATATATATATAATATATATATTTGTACCTGAAACTTTCAAGCAATCATTTTAATGCCTTAATGTAACTTTGTGCATTTGAAGTCAGTTTTCATATAATAAATGTTCTCTGTATTCTTAAATCAAAATGATCAACCATCTGTCTTCCTTCTATTTGTCCTAATAGGCCAGACAAAGGAAATTTTTCTGAGATGTTTACTCTGCCTCAATTCTGGATGGTTGTATCAGTTTGACAAATCCAACCAATTCTTCTTGTGAATGCAAAGATTATTCCAAAATATTCTTCAGCCTGTCTATACCATGCCGACACAAATCAGATGCTAATAAAATAAGATACAAATAAAATGAACACAGAAAAAGCATTTGAAATCGGAGAGGGAAGTTCTCTACTAATACTTGCATTTACAAAAGCTCCTTGAATCACCAATACTGATTTCCACTTGTCAGAATAAAAGTCAGCATTCTTTCTTGAGTGTATAATGGTATGGAGGCAGGGGTGACCACGACTGGGAGAGTAGCTTAGATACAAGAAACGTGAAATTTACCACACAACATTACATTGATATGGACGGAGTCTAGAACTACTCAACTTGGTGTACAAAAGCCACCATTATTTCTAGAAACCTATTTAGATTGAAACAGGTTAAAAAATTCTTATGTGTAATGGGTAAAGACTTTGCTGTTAGGTAAACAGGGAAGCTTAATTAGAGTAGTCATTTTAGAAGCTGTGAAGGATAATTTAAGTAATATCCTAATATATGTTTAAAAAGGATCCTTTTGTACATACAAACAAACACTGACAAAGCGTAGCTCCCAGATGAAAAATGCATACATGAGAAATTTAAATGTAATTCTACACCTCTAACACATTGGCATTTCAAGACAGGCATTAATGATTTAAAAAGGCAGCAGTGCTCATTGCCAACAATTAGTTAACCTGGGAAATGTAAACAAAGCCGTAGTTAAAGAACATGCCAAGCAAGACATTTGTCTATTTATGTCTACATAACTGTTGTCTTTTTGACTGTGACTGTCATTTTCTGTCCAGTTAGCAGAGACTTTTTTAATACACACAAAAAATAAATTCAAAAACAGTTATTTCATATGTAGACCCCCAACGTGTCTTTCCTTTTTCATTTTTCAACTTGTCATGATGTCATACAGCAGCCTAATTTACATTTATCTGTTGGTACAGAATGGAATGTTCAAATAAGTCAATAGTTCACTTACTATTTTATACTGTCTTGACTGAAATCAGAAAATAGATGAGAACATAAAGATTATGTTTACTTCTCTCTTTAAAAAAAGACTTAGAAGTATTTTAATATAATTTATTTGGTATCTTGGCTATTAATGTTTAGGAGCTTAACTTTCTGAAATGTATTATGATGGATTTTTGAATGTGAAATGACATCATTTAGATTTTACTAAAGATTTTTAAATGTACATTTTCCCCTTCATACTAAATGGCATTCCAAAATACCAACCATTAGACTCTAAACTTTATCAAAACTATAAATATTCAGAAACCACTAGTAAATGAATCTATTTTAACCATATCCATATAAAATATTTATGTAAAATAATATTTAAATAGACATGCAAATTTTCACTTAAATTGGGCAATATTAAAGTTCCATCTCTGTAGACTTGAAATCCAAAACACCTGAAGAGGGAAACAGATATATCCTTAATGGGAATCAGATCCTCAATCAGACTGGATAATCAAAAGACTCCTTATATAACATGCTTATAATTTAATAAGTATATATAAACTGAAATAATTTAATTGTACACAAAGTGACAAGAAAACCCTCATTTTAGTTAAGGAAGGGTTATATTTAGACTCAATAATATTTCTCACTTGAAGAATCCCAACCAAAAGACCAGTGCGAAAAAGGCTTCATATTAACTAAAATGAATGCTAAGGAGAAATATTTTAGTTATGGATAGGAATGAATCAAAATTAATTAATTGCTCTATAGCTTAGAGTCCCAGTATTTTATCAGATGCCACTTCTAAAGTCAGGGATAAAATAAATATGAAATTTGAAGAATAAAGCATCTTTTTAAGTTGAGCTGCTTAACTGTAACCCCTGTCCCGCAGTAAAGGAATGTGCATATTTTGAACAATTCTGTAGCAGCAGAGCGTGCACTCAGTAGAACACGAAGTATTTTTGCTTCTTATGGCAAAATACAAGTATTGAGTAAGAAATAGAATTTCCTTACCCTTTTTTGACTGCATAACTCTCAATACAAGAAGCCTGTTTTTAAAATGTGAACTTATTCAAAATGCATAAAAATGTAAGAATGTACAATATACTTACATACCTCCTAGTGGGGTCAAATGAGTGCCTTTCATTAGACATACAAAGATGTCTCAAGGCACTTAAGGGGTTAAGACACAATGCATGCATTCCTTTACATCAAGTATATGAAATCACATGATTTGGAATAAGCCAACCTTATGATAAATATAATTACATTATTAAATTCAAGAAAATTTGTAGATTCATATCTATACTTTTTATAAGATGCTGGTAAATGGACAATGTGCAGCATTTCCTGGGAATAGCAAATTCCACCTTTCTTCTTCTGAACAGCAGGTCTCTAGAGGGGGCATGTAGGGAAAGATGTGCTGCATCCATAGGCAGTGTATTGGCTAATATTGAGAATGATATTGCTAAAATCTTAAAAATAAAATCTGATAATCAGTATAGTAAGTACATGATCCACTGGAAAAAAGAAAGCCAGAGCTGACTCCTGATATTTACTTCTTTTTGCTTTCAAAATACAGGTGTACAACAAAGATGATGAGGATTCTGAGCCTCGCTTGTGGCAATTCTACCAGAAGGGGACTGTATGGCACCACCACAAATTTTCATAAATTACCCTGAACATACTCAGTTATTCACTATTTGTTCGGAGCAAAGCATGAAATAGTCTTCCAACACATGAGTTATAGATTCTGAAGGGTTGACTTTTTTTTAAAACATAAAGTGCAACAGTGCTGAAGTTTTCAAAGTTCTTTTTTTTTTTTAGTTCTTCATTTTTTTGTGAGATGCCATTTCCTGCAAGCAGTGTCATGGCACAGTGAATATAATGAAATATAATGAATAGCAGTTTTCCAACATGTATTTCAGATCTTTTCTTATTTATTTGACGATGTCGTTAAGGGTTTAATAAAGCCTTCTTCATAAACCTTCAAAATAGCTTCACATACAAATCTGTATTGACTCTGAAAAAGAAAACATAAAAAATAGAATTGATCAAAAAACCCTCAAAACAGACCATACCAAAACATAAACATCTCACTTGGCTTGCTTATAAAAGAAATTCAGGGCTGGGGTTGTGGCTCAGTGGTAGAGCATTTGCCTTGCATGTGTGAGGCACTGGGTTCGATTCTCAGCACCACAGATAAATAAATGAATAAAATAAAGGTCCATCAACAACTAAAAACATATTTTTTAAAAAGGACATTTCTTAAAAAAAAAAGAAATTCAAAGTGAAAAATATTGACAGCATTTTTTATCAATTAATTGGCAAAACCTAAAGTCTGAAAATAGAAGATTTTGTTGGCAAAACTCATATGTTGTGGATAGGGATGTTAAAGTGCTGTAACCCCTAAAAAGAAGAATTTGAAAGCATCTATAAAATTACATTAATTTACCTTCTGACCCATCAATCCCACTTCCAGTAAGTCCAAAAGACAAATTGTGATTATTGTAAATAATCACAAAGCGAATATGTGTTTTCAATTTCTTTTTCTAGTTTGTAGAAAACTAGTATTTTTGTTAGAGAAAAGAGGAGACATGATGTAAGATAAAAGAGGTTAAGTAAAATTACTGTGGTCCTAGATGGGCAAACTCATGGTAAGTATACTTTCCTAGCTCAGCCAACTGAGCATTTCGAGAGACAAATAAAACCCAATAACAATAGAACTCTCTAGTGCTTAGAGGGTGGTGCCTAAAAGCATCTCTCACTAGTAAGCACCAGGACTTTCTTTTTCCCAACTGAACTACATCCTTAGCCCCCCCGCCCTTTTTTTTTTTTTTTAATTTTGATATAGGCTCTAACTGTCCCAGGCTGGCCTCAAATTTGTGATCTTTCTGCCTAAGCCTCCCAAGTCATTGAGATAACAGGCATGTGACGCCAGGCTGGGCAAGAACCAGGACTTCTTGAGGTCCTGGGTTTTATCCCCGACCAAGGAAAAAGAGAAAACTTATAAATAAATAAAGGGTAAGAATCAGGTAATCACATTTATATTGCCTTTCATACAAACACTATTCCACTCACTGACCAAGATGAGAAGTTTCATTTTATTTATTTATTTTTTTTGAGGTCTTGCACAAACCAGGCAAGCACTCTACTACTGAGCTACATTCTAGCCCAAGAAGTTTCTCTTTAAATAATTATTCCAGCTGATAAATGAAGAAAGATAGAATGAGAATATAATTTTTCAAACCTGATGAATTTATGGATGAAGGCATTGATTACTTGAGGGTACTAATATCACAAAAAGACAGACAGACAGATAGACAGATATGTGCTTCTGAAGAAACAAAAAACACGCTGCTAAAGTCTATGGATCCACTTATCACTTTTAGGAAACAGAACACCACTTTGATGATGTAAATCAACAAAATCTAGATAGTGGGGAACTATATGGCAAAAATAATCAGGGGAGGAAGATTTCACTTAAGAGGTACTTAGGAAACATAACTAATCAATGTGAGTAGACATATCTGACTCCTGATTTTATACAAATTATAAAAACAAAAGCCCATCACGAGGGGCTGGGGTTATGGCTCAGTGGGGCTGGGGTTGTGGTCAGTGGTGGAAGTGGAACACTTGCTTGCATGTGTGAGGCACTGGGTTTGATTCTCAGCACCACAAATAAATAAATTAATTAAATAAAGGTCCTTCAACAACTAAAAAATTAAAAAAAAAAAAAAAAAAAGCCCATCATGAATGTTATGATCTTGTAATTCTACCTGTTGGTGTATACCTGAAAGGAATGAAAAGTGGGGTCTTGAGATATAACCCACGTTCATAGCAGCATTACTCACAATAGACAAAAGGTAGAAAAAGCAACATAAATGTCCACTGATGGATTTTGCTGATTTACATCAAGGTGGTGTTCTATTTCCTAAAAGTGTTAAGTGGATCCATAGACTTTAGCAGCTTAGGTGTTTTATTCTTTATTCAAAAACACACATCTGTCTTTCTTTTTGTGATATTAGCAGGAAGTGATCAATGCCTACATCTATTAATTCATCAGGTTTGAAAAATGACATTCTAATTCTAAAAAATTTACTCTCATGCACACCAAATTACTGGTTAATAAATGATTTCAGCAAGGTTGAAGAATATGTGATCAATATACAAAATCAATTGCATTTCTATACCTTAGCAACAAACAGTTCTAAAATGAAATTAAGTAAATAATTCTACTCACAGTAGCTCCACAAAGACTAAAATATGACACTTTTACAGTGAAAACTACAAAATATCATTGAAAGAAATACATAAATAAATAGGACAATCTTATATTTGTCTAGTTGGCTTTTTTAGGTAAAAAGGACAAACTGATTTTAAAATTCATATAGAATTGAATGTAAGAGATTCAGAGGAGTTATAAAAATCATAAAAAAGAGAAAAGTTTCCTCAGTTGCAGGGATTACAAGGGAGTGCCACCACATCTGACTCCAATGACTCTTAAGTATGCTCCAAGAAACATGAAATTTTATAGTATTAAGATTATGATGATGATTTTGGTACCAGAGACCAAACCCAGGTACTTTACCACTACATCCCCAGCCTTTTTAATTTTTTATTTTGAGATAGGATCTCACTAAATTGCTGAGACTGGTCTTCGGGCCTCTGCCTCTTGAGCTGCTGGGATTACAGGCATGTACCACCACACCAGGCTAAGATTATTTTAGCATTACTAGTGTCAATAAGATTACTTGACCTATGTGCTCTAAATGTGAAGCAGGGGCAAAGCACCCCTGGGTTCAATCCTCAGTACAAAAAAAAAAAAAAGGTCAGTGGAGAATGATAAGTAGCTTGATTTATAGAATATTTTTGTTGGAGGAATTTAAGTTCTTATGTGAAAAAGAAAGGCCTTCCACCACAGCTGTTTCACTGAAAGCAAGCCTACCAGGATTCTCCAGTTCAGTTGTACTATCATTGTGAGCATTCTACTCGACTAAGCAATATAAGACACATTCCTCTGCATCTGTTGTAATACTTAAGAAATAATATGCCAGGCCACTTGCATGTTGGCAAAAACTGTCTCTGTAAAAGGCCAGATATTAAATATTTTAGAAATTGCAGGCCATAGCTAGGCATGGTGGCACATGCCTGTTAATTCTAGTGACTCAGGAGGCTGAATCAGGAGGATCAAAGTTTTGGGACAAACTCAGTGACTTGCTGAGCCCCTGAAACAAAATAAAAATAGAAATGGCTGAGGATATAGTTCAGTGGTAAAGTGTCCCTGGTACTTTCTGCCAAAAAGTAAATGAATAAATAAATAAAAACAACAACAAAAAAAGATTAGACCATATGGTATCTGTTGCAACTTGTCAACTATGCTCAATGTTGAAGTGGTATAAAACCAGCCAAAGACAATCATTAACAATTGAACATGGCTGGGTTCTATTAAAGATTCAAAAAAAAAAAAAAAAAAAAAAAAAGTGAGGGGGAAGTCAGATGTGATTCACAGGCAAAAGGTTATTAGCTGCTGATAAGGAATTATAAAGATAAAAATATGACTCAGAATAAAACTTAAAATATACACTGATAACAAAAACCATCATTGAAGATTCACATGTGCACATGAAATACAGTACTTACAGGTGTTTGGATCATCATGGCTCGTTGATCTCTCATTGTTCTTACAATATCTAGTGGATAAACTGGCTGATTGCATTCAATGAGACACATGGCTGTTTCCATAGTAATAAGAACCCCAGTTCTTCCAATTCCAGCACTAAAAAAGATAAATATGGGCAAGGTCTTACTGATAATATTCTATTAAAATTCTTGTGATTTTAGTGCAGAAAAATCAAAATACTGAATAATATTGAAGAATAATTTCATTTTAAGGTTTTATATTAGAGAAGTAGTAAGTTAACTTCTAAACAAGGTATAAGCTCACTGGAGCAACTTCCCTTAAAAAACATAACAAGAGAATTATAATAATCATTAACAAATGTGTAGAAGACAGCACTATTTTATACCTTAGACAAATTAGGGTTTTCTAAAAAAATTAAGTTACCTCTGGATAGTTAAGAACTCTTGGAAGTATGATCTGTAAACAAGAATGTGGTAGCTACTAGAATCTTAGGATATGGGATGGCCACGTGTTTCATCATTCTTGTCACTTTGCCTCTCAAATATTTGTTCTATGATCTGTTTTAATGATCCGAAAGTTTGCTCTTACAATGTGCTGAAAAGGTGAGTTATCTCAAACTATCCTCCAAATAAAGCACTTTAAAACATGGTTATGAAAGGAAGAAAATAATTTCTGTATCCCAATCTCTAGGTCAGTGGAAGTGAAGGTTGGAGTCACAGTGTTTGGCTCTTTGAGGACTGAAGGAGACCTGGGGTGAAAGGAAGGAAAGGTAGCCTGCCACTGTTCACCTAGAAATATTGGGAATGACATGTCCTATAAACCCATTTGGTAGGCTCATTCCAAGAGATGTGGGAGCACTCAATGAGTATCCTAAGAGGGGTCACAGGAAAGACAAGAATACCTTGCTGGGAAGGAGAAAATCTAAACTGCAGACTGCATCCTAATGTATAGGTAATGATCTGAATGTATGCTTCAAAATGTGTGCCTCAAAATTCATGTCGAAATTGTGTGTGTGTGTGTGTGTGTGTGTGTGTGTGTGTGTGTTGCTGGGGATTGAACCCAGGGCCTTCTGCATGTGAGGCAAGCACTCTACCAACTGAGCTATATCCCCAGCCCCATGCTGAAACTTAATTGTGATAGTATTAAGAGGCAGGGCATATAGGAAGTGATTAACTCATGAAAGTACAGCCCTCACAGATGGCATCAGGGGTCTTATAAAACAGCTTGAGGGAGTGAGTTCACATTTCTATATCTTCTATCCCTTCTGCCATAAGGACACAGCATTTGCTCTCTCTGGAGGATGCAGAAATAAGGGACCATCTTGGAAGCAGAGAATAGCCCTCATCTGATACTGAATTTGCAGTATCAGATCCTTGATCTTGGATTTTCCAGCCTCTAGAACTCTAAGAAATAAATTTCTGTATTTTTGGGGGGGGGGGCGGGGGTTTTATAGGGACTGAATTCAGGAGTACTTAATCACTGAGCCACATCCCCAGCCCTTTTTATTTAAAGACAGGGTCTCACTAAATTGCTTAGGGACTCATTAAGTTGCTGAGATTATAGGCATGTGCCTCCACACATCCAACTAAATTTCTGTTATTTATAACTTACTTAGTCTTAGGTATTTTCTTTTTCTTTAAATACTTTTTTAGTTGTCAATAAACCTTTATTTTACTGATTTATATGTGGTGCTGAGGATTGAACCCAGCGAGTCAAATGTGCTAGGCAAGTGTTCTACCACTGAGTCACAACCCCAGCCCTTTAGTATTTTTTTAGAGCAGCACAAATAGACTAAGACAATCTATAATATTTCTACAATATTGTATATCATCAGATCTAAATTACAATTTCAGCAATGCTAAAATACAAAAGCTTCTAAGAATTCGTGCAATAATAATTATTTTTATCTCTTATCACAAAGTTTCTGCCAAATATTAACATTAGAACATATCCTTTGTTTTCTACATCAGAGCACAGCTATGAGTAATTAGTCATTGTGGCAATCACAACATAAGGGGTGCAATAAAATACCTATTCCCTTATAATAAAAATAATATATCAAGTCAGTTATTCATTCATAAAAGACAGGAAATAGAATACCTGCAATGAACAACAATAGGTTCTTCTTTGCCAGCCCGCTTATTTCGTACATGACAAACAAAATCCAGAAAGTCACTTGAATCATCAGGGACTCCATGGTCAGGCCAGGCTATGTACTGGATCTGAGTGAGTTGACGACTCTCATTTTTCTAAGTATAAAAGAAAAATTATTTACCTTGACTTAGGAATTATCTTTAAAATATAAATATTCATGTCATTTTAATTTTAGAGGGAGAGCAAAACCAACTCCTTTTCCTCCCCACAAAGAAGTAATGCATAAACCCATTAATATCCTAAATTGCAACAAATAAGAGATAAACTATTTTATGGAAACAGGTGTATCTATCTTATCGGCTACTTATATCGATGCCTTTTTATAACTCAATATCTGTATTTATAGTTTTAAAATGATGATAATCAAGCAAACTTACAAAAACAAATAAATATCCAGAGGAATGCTTAAAGATTTAACAACAGACACTAGTATGGCAGTATGTATAAACGTGGATGTGTAACCAATGTGAATCTGCAATCTGTATACGTGGTAAAAATGGGAGTTCATAACCCACTTGAATCAAATGTATGAAATATGATATGTCAAGAGCATTGTAATGTTTTGAACAACCAATAAAAAGATTTAACTAAAGATCTGTTAATTGAGCAAAAATGGTAAAGTAAAAAATAAATATATTTTTTGGATGGGGCACAAAGCTGAGCTAATCCTGACACAACTCAGATAAAATTTTGGAAATTAAAAAATATAAATGTAGATTAAAAACTGGAGATCAAAAAATCACCAGACATTAATTAATCCCTAGATCAAATCAGTGATTATTCCTTTTGGAGAGCTAATAGAGAGAGTAAGACTCTTAGATACATCTTGGTTCAAGTCTTGACTATGTCAGGATGGAATTTAATATTTCAGAGCCTCACTTCTTCCTTCACTTGAAAAATGATATCTATACATTTAAGGGATAATCTTAATGTTGAAAAGACTCCATAAAATGACCTGTAAATCACCCCGTTACTTGACATCATAGACACAATTAACAGGTAGCTAGTCGTTCAACATTATGAAAACTGGTTATTGCCATTTATATTAAAGGGAGCACAACTGCCAGTGGTGCACACCTGTAATCCCAGCAACTCAGGAGGCTGAGGCAGGATATAAATTCAAAGCCAGCCTCAGCAACTTGTGAAGCCCTAAGCAATTCAACAAGACCTTGTTTCAAAATAAAAAGAATAAAAAGGACTGGGGATGTGAGTCTGTGGTTAATAGCCCCTGAGTTCAATCTTCTGGTACCAAAAAAAAAAAAAAAAAAAAAAAAGTGTGCATGCGGAGAGGTTTCCAGAAAAATACTATGAAAAGTAATGGGGCATGGTGGTGCATGCGGGTAATCCCAGTGACTTGGGAGGCTGCGACAAGTTCAAAGCCAGCCATAGCAAGCCAACCATTAACAAGACCATAGGCAACTTGGGGTGACCTTGTATCAAAATCAAGAAAAAGGGTTGGGGATGTAGCTTAGTGGTTAAGAAAGCAAAAGATATATAAGACTAGGTAGTGTTGTCTGTCTGACCAGTGTCCATCAACGTATGGATGCATTTACATACACATGCAAATTTATTTTCCCAATTATATGTGGTTCAAACATTAGAAACATGACTTAGCATAGTTTCTAAGGTACTCAGGGTATACAAAGAAAAGCCACTATTCAATAAACTACTATTCAGGTGCTAATCTACAGGTAGAGTATAATAAAAAGACTGTTTTTTACTTTTTGCAGTATTGGGGATTGAACCCAGGGCCTCAAGCATGCTAGGCAAGTGATCTACCACTGAGATAAGCCCACAGTCATTTTTAAAAAGTATTATTTTGAGACAGAGTTTCATTAAGTTGCCTAGATTGGCCTTGAATTTGCAATCCTCCTGCCTATATCTGGGATTACAGGCATACACTACTGCACCAAGTAGAGTCTACATTGAAGACAGATATTATTTTTTAAAATATTTTTTTAGTTGTTGATGGACCTTTATTTTATTCATTTATTTATATACAATGCTGAGGATAAAACCCAGTGTCTCACACATGTGAGAGGCAAGCGCTCCACCAATGAACCACAAACTGAACCTCAGCCCCAGATATTATTTTATATAAACACACAGATTATCTTTCATTATCAATTAGGGAGAATATATTAGACCATGAGTATATCCCCCTAAGCCCCTTAAATTCATTCTGATCTGAATAAAATTTAACTTTTTATTTTCAGACTTTACCTTCATTCAATAGCTGAAGGCTTTTCTTTTCTTTTGGTACTGGGGATTGAACCCAGGGGCACTTTACCACATTCCCGCCCCATTCTCCTTTTTAAAAAATTTGAGATTGGGTCTTGCTAAGTTGCTGAGGGCCTCCTAAATTGCTGAGGCTGGTCTCAAACTTGTGATCCTTTTACCTTAGCCTCCTGAGTCACTGGGATTACAGATATGCACCACTGTGCCCAGTAAGACTTTTTTCTTTTGTGGTACTAGGAGTTGAACCTCGGGCCTCAAACATGCGAGGTAAGTGCTCAATCACTGAGCTACATCCCAACCCACCAGATTCCTTTTCTATAAATAACACAACTCTGGCTCCTTCCCTTTTGGCAAGAAAGGTTCTTGTCTCTGGTCTCTTTTAATCATAAATTTGGAGAAGGGTTATAGTTTCCATTTCCAAAGGTTTAACCATTTATGGGAGAGGCATAGGCCTTTATGGTTTATGCTGTTTGCTTTTCTCTAGAAGTTACTTCTTTTGGCTCCCTCCAAAACCACAGGTGGCCAGCACCGGAATACCTAGCTGCTGACAGTGAATATGGGATACTGTCTCTAACAGCCTCATCATGCCCTCTACACACATCTTCTAACTGGAGTACTGAGCCATCATTTACTAATCAATCCCCATTTCTGGCTTTGGTAGCCAATGTGCGTAACCCAGTTAGAACTAAGAACTAGCAGGTAGAAAGCTCTAACCTATAGGAAGGTCTTGCCTATGAATTTTTCTTCCTTAATATTGAGGGGATTGTGTTCGCCTCTATTCTTTTGAAAAAAGAAACAATTTGACAGTTTTCAATTACTTTTTCATATTCACAAATACACAAATATTTTACTATATTACTCCCAGAGACAATTTTTTTAGTAATCAAACAAACTCCTGGTATAATCATCATGAACAGGCAAAGTAGTAAATAGTAATAAATAATATTTACCAGACTGCTTTTATACTGACAACTAATTTTTGGCAGTAGAAATTGAAAATGCATTTATTATAGTATAGGAAAATATAATTCCAGAGTGTCCCATCAAAACAGGTTAGTAATTTTTATGATGTTTTTCTGGCTAAAACACATTTCAGCTTTCAAAGTCTTTACTTTAAACACAGTTCTAGCAAATGGACACCATGCCTTCTTACCTCTTGGTTGAACAGTGTCATATTCCTGAAGATATAGGCAGCATTTCCTTCTTCTGAATGGCAGGTAACTTGATAGCATCCATAGGACGAACTACCTGTGGGTTCTGGCCAATACTGATGACATTTAACCTGGTATCAACAGAATTATATAAACAAAGAAATTATATACACACACACAAAATAAACAAAGAAAATCACACCCACACATACATACATATATCAACTTAAGTTCTTTTTTTTTTTTTTTTGTGGTGCTGGAGATTGAACACAGGGCCTTGTGCATGATAGGCAAGCAATCTACCACAAAGCCACATCCTCAACCCAGTTTCTCCAAATTTTTAAAATATTTTAATTTTTAAGAACTTTCAGGGGGCCAGGTCTGTAGTTCAGTGGCAGAGCACTTGCCTAGCACACATGAGGCACTGGGTTCAATCCTCAGCACCACATAAAAATAAATAAAGGAATTGTGTCCAGCTACAACTAAAAAATATATTAAAAAAAAAGAACTTTCAGCCTGGCGTGTTGGCACACGCCTGTAATCCCAGTGGCTTGGGAGGCTGTGGCAAGAGGATCATGAATTCAAAGCCAGCCTCAGCATCTTAGCAAGGACCTAAGCAACTCAGGGTGACCTTGACTCTAAATAAAATATAAAAAGGGCTGGGGGGCTGGGGAATGTGGCTCAAGTGGTAGTGCGCTCGCCTGGCATGCGTTTGGCCCGGGTTCGATCCTCAGCACCACATACAAACAAAGATGTTGTGTCCGCCAAAAAACTAAAAAAAATAAATAAATATTAAAAAAAACTCTCTCTCTCTCTTTAAAAATAAAATAAAATAAAAAGGGCTGGGGATGTAGCTCAGTGGTTAAGTGCCCCTGGATTCAATCCCCCATACCAAAAAACCAAAAAACTTTCCGACTTAAGAAAAGGGTGCAAGAATAATTTAATGAACTCTCATAATAATTTAACTAACTCTTTTTCAAGATCCACCAACTAATAGCAGGGCGTGGTGGCACATGCCTGTAATCCCAGTGGTTCAGGAGGCTGAGGCAGGAGGATCATGAGTTCAAAGCCAGCCTCAGCAAAAGTGAGGCACTAAGCAACACAATGAGACCTGTCTCTAAATAAAATACAAAATAGGGGTAGGAATGTGGTTCAGTGGTCAAGAGCCCCTCAATTTAATCCCTGGTACCAAAAAACAAAAAACTATCAACTATTAACATTATGTCATTTTTCACCCCTTGTAACAATAATTAATCTATTTGGCCATATTTTGAGACTCTAAATAATCTGATTAATTTTTAAAGATTTTCATTTTTTGGTGCTGGGGATTAAATCCAGAGCTTTTGAGCTATATACTTCCAGACCCAGTGTTAAGATTTTAAAATTAGCTTTAATGACCATATAGCTTACCCATTAAAAGTATACTTTATTTTTTGAGAGGTTACTGGGGATTGAACTGAGGGGCACTTTACCACTGAGCTACATCCTCAGCTCTTTTTATTTTGAGACAGGATCTTGCTAAATTGCTGAGCCTGGACTCTAACTGGGATCTTCTTTGCTTAGGCTCTAGAATTGCTGAGCTTATAGGCATATGCTACCATGGCTGGTTTCAGTATATCCACACGTGTGTAACCATGAACACATTCACTTTCAGAACATCTTCATGACACCCAAAAAAATCCTTATACTTGTTGGTAGTCACTGTGCATCCTACCTGAACCTATTTTCCTTTCCCCAACCTGAATTTAGACAATGACTAATCTACTTTCTGTCCCTACTCTATTCCATATAAAAATAATCATATAATATGTGGCCAAAAAGGAAAAAAAAGAAGAAGAAAAAAAGAAGAGGAAAACTCTTCTTTCACTTGGCAAAATGTTTTCTAGGTTCATCCATGTTGTAGCAAGTATATATAAGTACTTCATTTTTTTTTTTTTATTGCCAAGTATCCAACAATACGAATATATTACTGTTTCTTGGCACATGTGAGTCTTTCTATGTTTTGGCTATTTTGAGTAATACTGTTACAAATGCTCGTGAACAAAATTTTTGCATGTTCATGTTTTCAATTCTTTTGGTACATCTAGGAATGAAGTTGATGAGTTGTAGTAAAGCCATGTTTAACTTTCTGAGGAAGTACCAGACTTTTCTAAGGTGACTGTACCATTTTGCAAATCCACAGGCAGTGTATGAAAACTCTGTTTTCTCTATATCATTAGCAACACTTATTATTACCTGTCTTTTTAATTTCACTCATGTACTGATGACGAAGTGGGGTCTCATTATTAATTTGATTTGCACTTCCCTGATGACTAATGTGGTCAAGTTTTTTTTTTGTGTGTGTGTGGTGCTGGGGATTGAATTCAGGGCCTGTGCATGTGCATGTGAGGCAAACACTCCACCAATTGAGCTATATCCCCAGCTCTGTGATCAAGTATTTTTTTATGTGCTTACTAGCCACTGGAATATTTTCTTTGGGTAACTGTCTATTCAGATGCTTTGCCCATTTAAAAAACTAGATTGTCATTTTATTGTTAAGTTATAGGAGTTCTTTATATATTTATATACAAACTCCTTACATAAACATTAATCCTTTTAAATAATAACAATGGTAATAATAATAGCTAACACTTATGTCACAGTAGTATGTGTCAATCGTAATTTTAAGCACATAATTGTAATGATTCAAATCATGAAATCATAAAAAAAGATTAAAGGTTACAAAAGATTAACTCAATGAAAATATTTTTATTATTCAGTGTAATTTGAAACAAGCCCGCGCAATGTGCAAGATTAAACTATAACTTACTCTGCCACGTTCAACTTGTGTGGTCAACATTACAACCATGGAGGAGCCTTGTTCCCAAGTCATTTGCCAAAAATCTGCACAAGTGTGTGGTAACGGCCCTTGACAAGCAATGTACTGATTGATAATGCTTGAAGAAGGAATTTCCATCTAAAAAGAAAAGAACATTAAAATAAAACTTTGGTATTACAACTTTTTATTATGATTGGCAATATAAAAATGATTCACTAATTAATTGTGAGATTGAGCATAATTAATTTCAATAAATTGCAATCAGTACAACAATCTTTTTTTTTTTTAATTTTATTTTCGGTATTTAGGATTTAACCCAGGGGATTTTACTGATGAACTACATCCTCATGCTCCCCCACCCCCTTTAAAATATTTTTTTAGTTGTAGTTGAACACAATACCTTTATTTTATTTGTTTATTTTTATGTGGCACCAGGGATTGAACCCAGTGCCTCACGCATGCTGGGCAAGCACTCTACCACTGAACCACAACTCTATCCCCCTGCATACCTTTTTAAAATTTTTTATTTTAAGACAGGGTCTCCCTAAGTTGCAGAGGGCCTTGCTAAATTGCTGAGGCTGGCCTCGAACTTGCAATCCTCCTGTCTCAGTCTCCCAAGTCCTTGGGATTTTAGTTGTGTGCCACTGTGCCCAGCAGTAAAACAATCTTTATCAGTATCCGTGGAAGAAATTTCTTAGCAATATCCAATAGTTATACATATTTACCTTTTAATTAATGGAAAGCAGGATTTAAATATAAATATCTCCCCAAACACTAGCATGGTTGTAAAAGTAGCTTGAGAGAGAACCTTGTTTCAAATGCAGAGAGTTAGTGAATAATTAAAAAAGATTTACCTGTAAACAGCGTATTTGTAATCTTGTGAGGAAGAAAAGCCCTGCCATTTGTTATAGCTTGGATTTTACATATATAACAACTTAAAGGGTATTAAAAGGTATTCAAAATTTTTCAGAATGAGTCAAATATTTGAGAAAATGAATCATACTACATTTGAGGTTGGAAAAAAATAAAGGTGATATATGTGCATACCAAATTGAAATTCAAAGCATACCAAAGGGTGAATAGAAAAAGAAGTCTGCCTTCCATCCCAGCCTTTAGGATGCAACATTCTAATAGGGCAATCCAGGAGGGTAATTTTTTTTCTCATTTCTTTTTTTTAGTTGTCAATGGGCCTGTATTTATTTATTTATATGAAATGTTGAGATTTCAACCCAGTGCCTCACACATGCTAGGCAAGTGCTCTACTACTGAGTTACACCCCCAGCCCTTTTTTTCTTATTTGTGATCTACACTTTCAAATATATTCTGCATACAACACACCAATGTTAAGCCATCTTCCTTTTTGTTCTGTAAAGCTATTTAAAAATGGCAGTATAATATTATTCTACATCTATATGATATCATCAAACTTTTTGATTTTTCAGTCTCATAGGTAAAAAAACAATAAAACAAAACAAAACAAACAAACAAACAAACCCAGGAATTCCTTGCAGTTTCTTTTTTCTTCTTTTCTTTGGCACTAGAGATTGAACCCAGTAGCGCTTAATCACTGAGCCACAACCCTAGTCTTTTCATTTTTTATTTTGAGACAGTTTTCACTAAGTTGCTTAGGGCCTTGCTTGGTTGCTGAGGCTGGGCTTAAACTTGTGATCTACCTGCTTTACTCTTGGGTTGCTGGGATTACAGGTGTGCATCACCACACCCAGCTTCCCTACAGTTTCCATTTGTACTTTTACTTTTTAAAAAATTAAGCTGAATATACTATTTGTTTAACTCAGTTTCTAAGTGTTACAATGGTATTGTGGTTTTGCTAAAATAAAACAATCCTTGTCAGAAGTACACATTAAAGCAGCCAATCCTGAGTCACAGATTCTGTATTTGTAAATTTGACTTCTTGCTGAAATTTATATGTAACTTCTGAACAGTTGAGGTGCTTTCTTGGTCACCTGTAAGCATGTTCAGAGTTGTGAAACATCTGAGTCACAAGATATGCATATTTCCAACTGATATCAAACAAAACAACTCAGTGCCTTCCTCTTTCTGCCGTCGTATCTGTAAACAAGTAATCATTCTGCATGCTATACACTGCCATATTTTTCATTAGGTGCTTTCTGTTCGTGATTTCTCTGTTTATAAATGCAGAACACTACTGTGTAGTGTTCCTAAGAATGCTTTGCACTTTTTTTGCATGTTTTTTTATGCCCAATGGAGAATATTTAGATTAGTATTCTTCAGGCATGAGTTACAGCAGTACTATGGGCTATAGGTTCAGTGTCAATGAATTAATTATATATTTAATAAAATACCTTAAATGGCAACAAAGTTATGATGAAAATTTTGTGATTTGGCTTATATTTGAATCCTAATTCAATAATTGTTCTAGAAGCAATGACTCAGTATTCACTAATTCAATATTCACAAAAACTTCAACTACTTCAAATACTCAGAATTGACAAAGTGGGCTTAAAAATTTTAGAGGGTACTGCTCAGATGAAATCAGACTGGCCATCTTTTGAAAGTTCTTGAAGCTGGTAACATAGAGGACTCTTCATACCATTCTACTTTTGTATTTGAAAATAGCCGTGAAATTTAAAACATCATCTGCATTTCCTTTTCTTTGAATTTTCTATTTTCTATGTCTACTTTAATTGAATAATCATTTTTCTAAGGCTGGATTTGAACTTGGGATCCTCCTGCCTCAACCTTCTGAGCCACTGGGATTACAGGTGTATCCGACTATGCCAGGCCCATTTTCTCTCTCTCTCTCTTTTCCATCTTTAAGTGCACATCTTTGTTTATTAGTGTACTATACTTATACATAATAGTGGGATTCATTGTGCTATATTCATACATACATATAAGATAATTTGATTAATCTCATCCAAGTATTATGTATGTATATATGTATTTATTTATTTTTGGTACTGGGGATTGAACCCTGTGGTGCCTTAGCATTAACTACATCTCTAGTTCTTCTTTATTTTTTAGGTCACTGAGAATTTAATCCAGGGGTGCTTTACCACAGAGCTATATATTCTTGGCCCTTTTTTATTTTGAGACAGGGTCTTGCTAAATTGTCTAGGCTAGCCTCAAGAATGTGTTCCTCTTGCCTTTAGCCTTCTGAGTTGTTGCGATGACAGGCATGTGCCACCATGGCTCACTTCAAGTCTTTATTCTTCTTAATCGTTTATAGAGCTCTTTTATATTTAAGAAATAAGCCTTTTCTAGCATTTTAAAAATTCAGGGCATAACTAGATTTTAGTACTTTTTAAGCATACCAAACATTACAAATTTTACACTGCCAAATTCATCAATATTTTTTTATAGATTAGACATGTATCTAAGCTTATAAAACCTCCCCCTTTCTGAAATATTAAAGAATTCTCTCATTATTTCTCTCAAGGACTTTCATGGTTCTGTTTTTAACACTTACATTTTGATGTATTTCAAAAGATGTCAGCATCAAGAGATGAATAGGTATTCATAGAATGATATGACATACAGATTTACCTCAAACAATCTGAATGTGGGGATATAGGTGAAACAAGATTGGCCCTGAACTGACAACTGCTGAAGCTGAGAGATGTGTATATGAAGGTTCATTTTACTTTTATCTTTTTTTTAATGGTGTGGGGAATTAAATCCAGGGCCTCACACGTTAGGCAAGTGCTCTACCATTGAGCTACACATCCTCAGTCCCACATTTTATGTTTTGTTCTAACTTTATACCTTTGAAAATTTCTATATTACAAAGTTAAGAAAAAATAGGAGTGATCCTTTTTTTTCTCTTCAACGGGGGGCAAAGAATCTTTCTTACAGTTGTAAATTCTAGACAGTTCACCAAATTTCAGATAGACTGTTATATTTCCAATGATTTAAAAGGCTACATTTAGCATAAAAAATTTTAATATTTAGGTTATCTATCTCTGAAGTATTGTATTTCAATGTTCAATGTATATACTAATATACTAACATCAAACTATTCAACATTACTTTTATAATATTGTTTTAATATTTGCAAGTTTAAATATTCCATCTAAGTTAGATTCCTTATCCCAAAGCTTAGAGTGGTCCCTATTATTTCAAATACAAAGACATAATTTTTAAAAAAACAACTTACATTTATATAGTTTGCATTGATGTAGTCTTCATTACCTTTTAAAATGACCCGTGTAGCATCATCTGTAAAAATTCAAAAGAAATGTTTTTGTTCTGTTGTTTGTTTTGGTGCTGGAATTGAACCCAGGGCCTTGCACATGCTCTACCACTGAGCTAAATCCCCAGTCTAGAAACAATGTTCTAATAAAGTTATGTTAAAAAGATCAAATTTAGGAAAGATTATAGATACTCACAAGGCGAAATGTCTCTGTATCTATTTTTGGAAATATTCTGAGGTAATTTGGCACAAGACATTGTCATTCCAGGTTTTTTACGATACAGTTGCTATAAAAAAAAAAAAAAATCTTCAGTCCAACAATTTGTTTTATTTTTTAGAATTGTTTCTGTACTTTAAGGAAATAGGTTTTTTTCCTTTGAATACTTCATCTACACAATGATGTACCTAGGCCTATTAGAGTATTGAACCAGAATTTGAAAGCTGAATTATGTAGTTCTGAGAAGAATTAAATATATGATATTAAAAAAAAAAAAACAGATGAAAACAATTTTGTATACAGCAATAGTACCTAAAATTTTAAGTACCACATCTGCAGAGGACACTTGACTTTCATTTAATTTGGAGGTGTTTGCAGCACATGAACCAAGACTGAAAAAACCGACATGTGTCTTTAATGTTTTATCATTACAAACACATAACTTATTCTTCAGAGCAACAAATACTCATAATGGCCATTTTAAAAAACATTAAAAACCTCCTGCTTTTCCTAAATTAAGCAAATTAAGTTCACATAGTCTTAGCAAAGCATTTTAAAACCCTCTGTATGCTTACTAATCAAAATACAGATTATAAGTACTGAAGAAGCATTCATGTTCTTCTGATTCAGCAAACTATTTAAGAGTTTTAAAGACTGCACTGATCAAAGTTAGAAAAAGATTAAATATAACAAGGTATAAACTTCAAAGCAGGTTATTTTTCCTTTAATTCATAATTTTAAAGTCTGTAATAGCTTATCTTCATCTTCTACTTTTCATAAAAACAGACGCTTAATTATTGAAAAAAAATGTAGTCTGATGATATAGATATAAAATTCCTTTATCCTCTTTTTAAAAACAAACCTGTACTTATATAATCATAACAATTATTATGGGAACAATTTTTTAAAAAATTGTATTTTGGAACTTCTTATTATCAGACATTTCTAAGGATACCATTTTATTTCTAAATTATAATGGAAAGTAGATTAGGCAGTTAGAAACCATGAAACTAATTAGAAAATATGGGCAAACACTTTTTCTGTACAATGATATCACTCACATCAAATTGTGTCAGGACCGTTCCAGTAATAAGCCCCTCAGCTAGCTGGACCATTGACTCCCGCAGGGAATGGTCATCTTGATGGACACTATCTAGTGGGGCTTTCTCAGGAATGTACTGGAAGTCTGGTTCATTTTCTAGTTTTTCTTCCACTACATCATACACAGCTAAAACAAAACAAAAAATGCACATAGAAATCTTAATGTAATTCATTATAAGAATTAGATATGCTCTTTAGTTTTTTGTCAGAAAATAATTCACTTTGACTAATTATATTAATCTGATGTAGGGTGTGGGAACTGAGTGGCTGTGAAATTGAAGGGCTTTTCTGCACCTGTGGGGGAAACAAAGGATTTTGGCCAGAAGCCTAAAAATGTCTGTAACTTGAAGAAACATTAAGGAAAAAATGATGCTGCTAAGATGTAGCTATGAATAGACCTATTCTTAAATTGTGGGGACTGAGGACAAGAATACAAATAGAAGTTCATATGACAAATGTCTAAATGTAAGTTACAAATATATTGGACAAAATGATAAGCAATATATGCTCTATCTTCTTTCCTTGACATAGCAACAAAATAATCTGAGATGCCAGATTTAAAAAGAGAATTCTAAATCAGATTCATGGTCATGATAGTATGAGGAGAGTCAGTCCCTAGACCCTAAGCCTATAGAATACACTATTTCTTTTCACCTTCTTAGCCCCATTCCATAACATGGGGACCTATAAACACACATGTAAACATCCTGGCCCACATGTGTGCTCTGTCTTCACTACTCGTCTGCTAACTACTTACTGCCTCTTAATTACCTTGCTGCCCTGAGAACACATATCACAAGATCCACAGTTGGGAGAAATGAGACTGTGGAAAATGCTTACAAAGGCCTAAGAAGTGGCTTCAGGGCTATTTGGACAAATAATTGAGGGGTAAAAAGAGTGTTTAAGAAAGGAGAGATAAGTTAGAGGTGATGGCTTGACATATCTTGTTGGCCTTGCAAAATCCTGACCCTATTGGAAGGAACATGGCTAAAGAAAAGACAGAGAAAAGCTTTCTAAAATATGGAGTCAAGGCTGAGACCTCTGCTACTCTTATCTGGAGGCCTGGTTCCTTCTCAGATATGTTTGCATTTTTTGATAAAAATAAATTTCTGAAATGAAGAACACAAAGACAAAACAAAACAACAACAACAACAAAAAAAGAGACTAGTTTACCTAAGAAGAAATAAGACTTAGAGGGAAAAAGATCAGAAAATAAAAAGCACATTCTTGGTAAGCATACTTAATTTTGATTATAAGTTGTTTTAAGTTCAAATGGACATGATGGTCCCACAGTGAAAATGAATAGAGGTCCTGGCCCAGATTTTGACTACAAAACAATGTTAGAAAGATTTAACATTTTGGGCTGGGGTTGTGGCTCAGCGTCAGAGTGCTTTCTTTGCACATATGAGGTACTGAGTTCGATCCTCAGCGCCACATAAAAATAAACAAAATAAAGATATTGCATCCATCTATAACTAAAAAAATATTTTTAAAAAATCTAACATTTTGCAAGAAAGGTGGATTTCTCTCATAAATTAAAGTGTAAATCAGGCAATATGAAATTTTAAGAAGGCCATGTCTTTGCCATCATATGGTCTTTTGCTCATATTTTGGCTCTGCACTAGTCATGAATCCATGAACAGAAAACTGAATGTCCTGTACCAAAGTGTATTCAATTTTAAAATGAGGATTATTTTCAACTATCACACTGGATAGCCATGAGAATGAAATGAGAGCATACAAAAGAGCCTATGTACATAGAAAGTTTAAAAATCACATTATTTTTAAGTTCTTTAGGAGATATTATCAAGAAAAAACAGAGTAAGTAAAATTCAAAGAACAGTATTCTTGGTATAAAACTTAGGAAGCTTTAAGTGACAGAAAATGCCTAGAAATGAATAAGTCACTTCAGTGCCAGGTCTAAATAAACAAGTTTTTTGAAAAACCAAGATAGAATGATCTGTTTAAGTCCTTATAACTGACTATGAATAGAGAAGTCAAAGTAGAGAAGACAAAATTAAAGTGCCTTATTTAAAAAACTTAATCTTATTTAATTTTTTTAAGTTGTAGTTGTACACAATATCTTTATTTATTTATTTTTATATGGTGCTGAGAATTGAACCCAGTGCCTCACACATGCTAGGTGATGTTCTACCACTGAGTCACAACCCTAGTCCCTAAGGTGCCTGGCTTTATCCGAGAGATTGAGAGGTTTTAAAAAAAATTTTTAATTTATTTTTTAGTTTTCGGTGGACACAACATCTTTATTTTTATGTGGTGCTGAGGATCGAACCCAGTGCCCCGCGCATGCCAGGCGAGCATGCTACTGCTTGAGCCACATCCCCAGCTCTGTTTTTTTTTTTTTAAATATTTATTTATTTTTTAAAGTTTTTTAGTTTTTAATTTATTTTTTAACAGGCACAACATCTTTGTTTGTATGTGGTGCTGAGGATCGAACCCGGGCCACATACATGCCAGGCGAGCGCGCTACTGCTTGAGCCACATCCCCAGTCCCTCTGTTTTGTTTTTTAATAAAAAAAAAAACTTGGCAAAATTTTGTAGGGTTGGGTGTGCTGGACAATAGGTTCAGAACAAAATTAGAAGAATATGTTCAATGCTATTACATAGGAATTTTTTCTTGGAACTTGAAAACAATGCCCTATGAACAATGGCTTAAGGCTCTGTGACTGTTAAATTGGTGACCATGGAGGGTATTTCTGGTAAAATTAGCTCTTGCCAAAAAAATTGAAGGAAGAGAGATTAAAAACTTATTCTGCATGACAGAATTAAATGATAGAATTAGTAATGAAGGGATTGAAGGAAGATAAACTTTAATTCAATTAACAATTCAAACATGTAAAGGTGGAATATACTGCTTCAGGAACCACTGAGTACTCTACATTGATAGGATGTTTTTGAGGCTGCTGTAGAAGAGACCTGTGCAATTGGCAAAGGGGCTAGAACTTATGAGGTCTGACATTTCTTCAAACCTAGGAATCTGTGGTTATGAATTAACAAGTCCAGATAAGTAGATGACATGATTAGGCAAGTGCACATTACCTACTGAAAAGTTAGACAAGATTTAAAAACACAAATTATTTAAACTAGAGATTATTATGGAATTTTCTAGGAGTGGAACAGAATTCAAAATTTATTCATGCATCTACTGAGAATTTACTGGGTACTTAATACTACTACTAAACTAATTAGGGGAAGTGAAAAGCTATTTTAATGATAGATTAAGAAACAGAAAGCCTTTCTGAGATGACCTTTTAGCAGAGACCTGAATAAAGTGAGGGCAAAAGTCATACAAAAATCAAGAATAGTTTATCAGAATGGATGAAACTGGAGACTTATTGTGCTAAGTGAAAAAAGACAATCCCAAAAAACCAAAGGTTGAATGTTCTCTCCGATATGTGAATGCTGACACAATAAGCAGGGGAGTGAAGAAGAGAAGTTCAGTGGAGTAGACAAAGGGGAATGAAGGAGGGGGGGGAATGGGAATAGAAAAGATGGCAGAATGAATTGGACATAACTTTCCTATGTTCACATATGAATACGTGACCAGTAAAACTCCATCATGTACAACTGCAACAATGGGATTACTAATTAGAATAAGTTAAACTCCCTGTATGTATGTGTCAAAATATACTCTAATGTCATATATATCTAAAAAGAACAAATAAAATAAAAAAGAAAAAAAATAGTTTATCAGGCAGAGGGAACAGCAAACATGAAGACCCTGAAATAGATCAGAATATTTAAGAAACAGAAAGCTGCTACATAGTATATAACCACAGAAATGTAAAGTTGTGCTGCAATCATGTATAATAAATTAAAATGCATTCTGCTGTCGTATACACCTAATTAAAATAAATAAATTTAAAAAAAGAAAGAAATAGAAAGCCAGTGTAGGAGGAAAAAAAAAGAAAAAAGAAAGAAAAGAAAGCCATTGAGTGTAGTAGAATTGAGGAGAATGAGCAAGATGAGTAAAGAAGTAAGGAAACCAAGAATTTGGATTTTTCTCCAAGTATGAATGGAGGCCATTGTGCTTTGAGCAGGAAACTGACATGATTTATGTTTTAAAAGCCCACTCTGGCTGTTATGTCCAGTAATAAAGAGTAATGAATTATGACAAATAGCCAGTATTGCATAGAGTACTTACCATTGGGTCGAACTAGAAGCACGAGTTCCCCAGAATGTCTTTCACAGCTAGCTTTAATAAATAGGACAACTTGATCATGGGTATGTTCTGTAATGTCCCGACCATTAATTAGTACAACTTGGTCCCCTTCATTCAATCGAGGGACACAGAGGTCAGCCTGTAATATAAGGCAAGTAAGGTTTCAGATTTGCATGTGACTTTCTGGAAGTATTGGGTTTTATTTTTATATAATTCAGAACAGGAAAACCAAAAGCATCTATGCACTCATTCATCATTTAAAAAAATTTTTTTTTAGTTGTCAATGGACGTTTATTTTATTTATTTGTATGTGGTGCTGAGAATCAAACTCAGTCCTCACACATGCTAAGCAACACAGTGCTCTGCCACTAAGCCACAAGCCCAGCCCTCAACCATCAATTTTTAAAATATTTTCTTTAGTTGTAGATGGACATGATACCTTAATTTTTAAAAATATTTTTTAGTTGTATATGAACACAATACCTTTATTTAATTTATTTATATGTGGTGCTGAGGATTGAACCAGTGCCTCACACATGCGAGGCAAGTGCTCTACCCCTAAGCCACAACCCCAGCCCATGATATCTTTATTTTTATGTATTTATTTTTATGTGGTGCTGAGGATCAAACCCAGTGCCTCACACATGCTAGGCAAGCACTCTACCACTGAGCCACAATCCTAGCTCTCATTCATCAATTTTAAAAAGTAGAAACATAGAGGGTTTTTTTTGTTGTTGTTGTTTTGTTTATTGTACTGGGGATAGAACTCAGGGGCACTTTACCCCCATCCTCCAGCTTTCCAAAATTTTTAGAGAGGGTCTCACAAAGTTGCCTGGGCTGTTCTGAAACTTGTGATCCTCCTGCCTCAGCCTCCCAAGTCACTGGGATTACAGGCATGGGCCACTACATCCGGCTTAGAAACCTAATTTTCTCATGGAGATACTATTTCTTCCCCTTCTTCCTTCCTGATGACCTATTATGTGCCTAGAGATACAGATAAAACTAAAGGTGTAAAAGTACATATACACATGCAGCTCTAACTTTATACTGTCCATATACATAGAAATTACAGTTACCATGGTTTAAACGACACCAGTCCCCCAACAACATGGTTTAAATTTTAGTTACCATGTGTTAATTGTGGATAATGCATAAATAAACACTTCACTGTAAGGTTCTCAGTCCAAAAATCTCTACACAGATAAAGACATATATTATGATGAGTGACCAATCAGATCATTTTTTTTTTGGTACCAGGGATTAAGCCCTGGGGTGCTTAATCACAGAAGCACAACTCCAATCCCCATCCCCTTATAAAATTTTTTACTTTGAGATGGAGTCTAGCTAAGTTGCTTAGGGCCTTGCTAAATTGCTGGGGCTGGCTTTGAACTCACAATCCTCTTGCCTCAGCCTCCCAAGCCACTGGGATCACAGGTGTGCGCCACTGTGCCTGGCCACATCCCTTCTTTCAAAATCTGAATGATTTGTCAATGCATATCTGTCATTCTTTACATGCACAGAAAGTAAAGCATGTAGTTTTGCTCCTTCTTCCTTTCAGTGATTAAGCCATACAAAAATGGATAATCTAAAGAGGGAACTGACCAAAAAAGATGAGCAAAGAAATGAAATTTGATTAATCCTGGACATGAAATTTGAATTGAACATAAATGAAGTTAAGAGAATAAAAACACTCAAGTTCAAAGTATAAAATGTTGAAAGGAAATCTAAAAAGATAATTATCAAGGCAAGAAATGCTCACTCTGTACAAAAAGTTTTATAACAAGAAGGAGGCAAGTACTTTATGAGATTGTGCTATGTTTTCATAAAGAAAACATTTTAAATCTCAATATTTCTGATGTTTTCAATCACAGGATACTAAATCATTTATTAGTTTTAATATTTTCTCATTTATCTATACTTTTGTAAGAAACAGGAAGAGATTTGAATGTTTAGACAAAAAAATATAAAAGTTGTGGGACGACTGTAATTTTCCAACTAATCAAGATTACTCCATGATTTCATCACACATTGTCCTGCACTACTGTGCAAAGTGAAGATTACTTGTACACACTTTATTGAGAAAACAAGCCAGTAATTAAGGTAAAAGATATAAGAAAAATAGAAACAGAACTATGAAGATTGTGTTCTGAGAACAGAGCAATAAAAACATGAGAGTCAAATATAAAGGATGACAGATAGAAGTAGAGAAGGAAAAATGGGGCAGTATCTTAACAAAAAAGGGAAACTCCTGTGACAAAGGCAGTAAGAAATGACAGCAAGGCTGGGTGAGGTGTTGCATGCCTGTAATCCCAGGGGCTCGGGAGGCTGAGGCAGGAGGATCATGAGTTCAAAGCCAACCTCAGCAACTTTGTAAGGCCCTAGCAACTAGCAAAACTTTGTCTCTAAACAAAATATAAAAAGAGGTGGGGATGTGGCCCAGAGGCTAAGCCTCCCTGGATTCAATCCCCAGTACCAAACAAAAAAAAAAAAAAAAAAAAAAGAAAGCACAACTACTCAGAATTCACTAATTCACAAATTCCATAAAAAAAAAATTCACAAATTCCATAAAATCCAACAAGGTTGTCACTGATTTGTTGTAAGTACAAGTCAAAGTTGGGGCTTGGGATGTGGCTCAGTGGTAGAGAGTTTGCTTGGCATGCATGAGGCCTGGGGGTTCAATTCCTAGAATTGAAAAAAAAAAAAAAAAGGTCAAAATTCTTCCTCTATTGTTTATGAAATATGTGATCTTTGATATCTAAAATTCTGAAAACACAGAAGATATTTGCCTTGATTATTTCACAGAACTGTTGTGAAGCTAAAAATGAGAATACTAATCCAAAGTTTTAAAATCTGAAATATTAAAATTTAAGGTGGGCTGGGGACAGCTCAGTGGTAGAGTGCCTGCCTAGCATGCACAAGGCCTTGGACTTAATCCCCAGAACTGCAAAAACAAAAACAAACAAAAAAGTAAGATTATGTTCATTCTCTCCAGTTGCTTTTTTCTCTCTACTTCTGTAGTAAAGTAGAAGACAGATTTCATATATTCTCTTTGCATTAGCAGTGTAATGCTTCTGCATACCAATTTGGTTCCAAGTTTTTCTAAATGTCTTTGGAATACCTGAAGTGAGATGGAGTGGGAGTTAATGGTAGAAGAAAGAGCTATCTTTTTATATTACTTTGTGGATGGTGTAGTTGGTAGAAAAGAACAGATGGTCTGTTAGAGATAACTATAAGTATCCCTTACTGTACCTATTATTATTGAAGGAAACTCATACTTAGCCTGCCTTCTTTCAGAAATAAATTCTTATTTATATTTTATTCTGATTCTGAAAATTTAAATAAAGAACATATTAAAATGAATTTGATGGCGCAATAGCCACTGACTAAAAGATTATCAGACCAGAAAGAAAAACATGATTCTTTTTCATTGGAATTTATCCATTTCAGAGGTGTCCAAAATAGAAAAAAAAATCAGAATACTTGAAATTCTGTTTCTCCTTGTATCATTTTTAAGAAAAGGGGGTTGATAAAACACAATGTCCCTGAATGCTCCCTTCTGTTCCCTAAAACCCAGTCAAATGAAATAAAAGGAACAATGAAATTGGGTCTAGGCCAGGATGTCCAGATACATATTATCTTGAGGGACACTTGGCTCTCTGAGATGTATGCTGGGAATCAGGGCAAGTTAGCATTATCTGTAGAAACCCATTTTTTTTTTCACACATGCCAGGACACCTGCTCCTTGGTATGCTGGTCATACAATTGGACAAAGCAAGCTAAGCTGATTCTGCTTCTGTAACTAAACCTATAAAACCTATACCTTCCCTCCTGTGGTAACTGGTACAAATCAGAGCACCTTGGAGAGAGAAGCACTGCCCAGGGACAAAGCAGAGGTACACTTGTTGAGCTTATCACCACAGGCCTTTCTGGAGAAGAATCCGTCTAGCTGCGTGCCACTGAACCTCCCCCATAAGCATTTCTTAATAAATCCTGTATCTCATATCACATCTCTGAGTTTCTTTCTTGGTCTCTTGGCAACCTACCCCCCCTGCCCCCCCGGAACAAAATGGGCAATAGACATAACACCTCCAAGTCATCTAAAAATGTGATTTCTAATTCGAAGACTGTGTTGGTCTTGAAATTAATAAAATAATATAAAATGAGCCTGTGGCACATGCCTATAATCCTGGCTACCCAGGAGGCTGAGGCAGGAGAATTGCAAGTTTGAAGCCAGAATGGGCAACTTGGCAAGACCCTATCTTAAAATAAAAGGCTTGAGGATGTAACTCAGTGGTAGAGCAATTGTGAGTTCAATCCCCAGTGCTGTGAAAAAAAGTGTGTGTGTGTGTGTGTGTGTGTGTGTGTGTGTGAGAGAGAGAGAGAGAGAGAGAACGTGAATGTATAAAATGACAAAACGACAACAAAACTCTAATTTGTATAGCTTAAGAAGAGAATTTGGGAGTCACAGAATTGTGTTGATCTATAGAATGTTCCCTGAACATCTTAGACTTAAATAAAGTATACTATCTTTTCTAATAATATGAACAATACATATTAATCGTTATGTTTTGAACAATTAAAAAAGGAATAAAGAAAAATGCAAGAATTCCAATAATTCCATTATCCAGGCAAAACACAGTAACATTTTTTGCATGTTTCCAGACTTTTTCTATACAATTTACATTTTTATACACTGGGTTCAAACATATATGTAGATTTATAATGTAATTTTCAGTAAGACCATTTTGTGGATATATTTCTGTATTTACAGAGACAGCATCATTTTAATAGCAGTAAAGCAAGGCATAATTTATTCCACTAATTTTAATGATACATATTTTGATTTTTTCAATTTCATATCATAATGAACATTCTTGTGTATTTTTGTTCGGTAGTTTAATTATTCCATTAGAAATAATTCCTAAAAGTCAAATTGTCAGATCAAAAGGTATAATTTTTAAATTTTAAAAATCAGTTTTAAAAAAGTTATTAATCACAATTTAAAAATCTGACTGTGTCTATAAGATTTTTAGAAACCATTTCTTCTGTAATTCCAGCAGCTCAGGAGTCTGAGGCAGCCTCAACTTGGCAAGGTTCAAAGCCAGCCTCAACTTGGTGAGATCCTAAGCAACTCAGAGAGACTCTGTCTCTAAATAAATATAAAAAAGGGATAGGGATGTGGCTCTAAATATAAAAAAGGGATAGGGATATGGATAGTTAAGTGCCCCACCTTCAACCCCCTGGGGAGAGGGAGAGAGGGAGAGAGAGAGAGGGAGGGAAGGAGGGAGGGAGGAAGAGAGAGAGAGAGAGAGAGAGAGAGAGAGAGAGAGAGAGAGAGAGAGAGAGAGAAAGTTTCTGTGTTTCTCCTTACCATTTATCTTCCTGTCTCTAGAAGCAACAACTTTCAATATTTTAGCTACATCTTTTTGTATATTTTTTTAACCTCTATCTCTAAATAACATTTCTCTTTTTTTCTATTTTATATGTTATTTATAAACTTTCTATATGACAGATGCAGATGAGAATTTAGCAAACATTTATTTCCTCATCTGTAATCTCAAACACATAAACTTTCCTATTGATTAAATAATTTGGGGCTACTTCACCCAACCTTCATATGCATCTCTGAATAATAATTTGAGTTTTTCCAAACAAAGATATCTGATCCAAGCTTGATTTATTGAGGATTTACTTCTTAGGGGTTTACAAATTAGACTGAGAGGTTTAGTCACTCTGGGTTACTGAGCTGGTAATATACAAATCTCATGCCTAACACTGAGAATTGAGGATTAGAATAGTGGTAATAGCTGTGCAATTTCTGCCTAGTAGAGACTCAGGAGCAACAACTGATAGAGATCAAGGGAGAACAAGATAGACACAGACAGAGGTATTGGAATTGGTGTTATAGAACTTGGCTTGAAGCTGCTGCTAGTATACTATAACTTACAGGTGTTCCTGGTGCTACTCGGGACACAATTACAGGCATCTTCTGATCATATCCTCCCTTGAAAAGAAAACAAGAAAAGTATTGGTCAAATATTGTCAAAATAAAGACAACTTAATGTAAAAACTGAATACAATATAAATTCCAGCTTACCTTTACATTGAATCCAAACCTTCCATTTTCATCAGGTTTCATTCTGATTAGAACAAGATTATCATGTGGAATACCACCATTAGGCTTGAAAAGACAAAAATAAAATAATATATAAATTTCTGCATTTATAGTTTATCCTACAGACATACATAAAGCATGCTTTTCATTTGCTTTTATTATCTACAGAATATAAAGAATCATAATTCTACTCAAAATGTTAGTTTAAGAAAATAAATTTCTTTGAATAATAACTTGCTGTTATATTCTCTCATGCCTTCTTGTCACTATATTAATAAGAACACCAGCAAACTGAAAGAAATTCCTGTCTCTATTTCCTCTAATCCCATCCTACTTCTCAGATTTTCATCCCCACCAATCTATCACAACTGTTAATTAAGGACACCAAAGATTTTCACATTGCTGAATCTAGGGTTCAATTTTCAGTCCTTATCTTACTTGACTTACCTGTGATATTTGATAAATTCACTTGCCCACTTTTCCTTCTACCTTTCTATCTGCATTTTCTCAGTCTCCTTTGCTGGTTTCTTTCAGTTCCTTCATTTTTTAAAATTGAAGGATGGAAGGCTTGGTATCTAGAACCTTTTATTTACATAAACTTTCTTGGCGATTTCTCTATTTTGTGATTTTAAATACCACTATATGCCAATGTTATAACTCTGGCTTAGACCTCACCCTTCAAGTCCAGAATCATATATCCAATCGTCCTCATCTCCAAAAGGATTCTTAATAAACATTTCAAACTTAACACATTCTAAACTGAGCTCCTGACATTCTAACTGTACCTGCTTCATCTGCAGCCTTTCACATCTCAATAAAAACACTGGCATTATCTTTGATTTCTTTCTGTAGTACTCCACATCTAATCCATGAGCATATCATGTCTTAAAAATACATCCAGAGGACAGTCATCTCTCATCCCCTGTATTGCTATCACCCTGGTCCAAATCACCATTACATGATGGAAATACTGCAATGCCTCACAACCAGTATCTCTTCCTCTGCCCTGCTTTCAGTCTACTTGAAATACAGCCAAAGCGATACCATAAAAACCTACATGGACATCATGTTACCTCTCTTCTCAGATATGTCCATTTACTTCCTATCTCACTCAGGGTTAAAACAAAAAATCCTTCTAACAGAAGTCTTTGAGAATCTAGCTTGTCTCCTTATTTACTACTCTTTCTGTAGCCACACTGTCTCCCTTGGTATCCCTTGACTATATCAGTCATACTCTTTTTATATATATATATTTAGTTGTAGTTGAACACAATACCTTTATTTTGTTTATTTATTTTTATGTGGTGCTGAGGATTGAATCCAGGGCTTCAGACATGGGAGGCAAGCGCTCTATTGCTGAGCCCCAGCCCCAGCCCCTCAATCATACTCTTGTTGCTATAGTTTGAATGTGTCCTCCTAAAGTTCACATGTTCACATGCTAGCAACAAAATCCCCAAATTCATATATTAATGGTATTTAAACGTGAGCTCTTTGAAAGGAAATTAGGATTGGAAGATGTATGAGGGTGGGGCCCCTATTATGGCATTAGTGGCTTTACAAGATGAAGAGACCTGAGCTAGCACACTTGCTCTACCTTGTCATGCAATGGACTCTGCTATAATATGATGCAGCAAGAAGGTCCTCACCAGATGAAAGTACTATGTCCTTAAACTTCCCAACCTCTAGACCCATGAACTAAATAAACCTCTATTCTTTATAAATTACCCAGTCTGTGGTATTCAGTTATAGCAACAGAAAATGAACTAAGACATCTGTCTTTGTATCTGGTATTCCATTAGATAGTTACATGGCTTATCACAAATTTCATTCCTAGCTCAAATTATCTAAAATTGTAAGAAGACTTCTGGAAATTCCCTAAACACCTTTCCTTCTTTATTTTTCCTCTCTAGCATTTAAATTAGTATGCTATATATTTGAATTATTTATATCTTACTTACTATTTAATCCTCAAGTTCAAAGCCAGCCTCAGCAAATTAGTGAGGCCCTAAGCAACTTAGTGAGACTCTATCTCTAAATTTAAAAATTAAAAAAAGAGGCTATGGATGTAGCTCAGTGGTTAAGTGCACCTGGGTTCAATTCCTGGTACAAAAAAAGAAAAAAAAAGAAAGAAACAAGCAATCTAGATTATAAATTATGTCACAGCAGGGACCATGTTTTATTTGTCCTTGCATATCTCCTACCATCAAAGTGCCCAGCATTCAGCAAGAACTCAATGACTATGAATGAATGCATGAACAAATGATATGCAAGTGACCACAGAGGTAGTACTAGAGTTCTTTTTTATTTTTATTTACTTATTTTTATGTGGTGATAAGAATCGAACCTGGTGCCTCACACATGCTAGGTAAGCGCTCTACCACTGAGCTACAACCCTTACCCACTTTTTTAGTTTTTGTAAGGATTCTCATCTATTTTTTATATCCATGATATTGGAGCAGTAAGTGTGGGATAAGAGAATGGTTGCCTTTCAATTTCAACTTCAGATAATATGAGAGGCAATGTATGGTTGAAGAAACAATAGAGCAATGAGTGTAATGGCCACTGCAGGCTTTTGGCATACATGCCAATATCTGCTGTGGTCCTTCCCTTCTTTACATCTTATTCCATTCCTTGATGTCTCTTAAGTTTCCTGAAACACACCAATAGTTATCTGTTTTTAAATTTCTTCAGGAGCACAGTATTTCCTCAAATATACTGACAATCTCACTTATGGATTATTTAAATCTACTTGAAAAAGCAATGAAAATTCATAAACCAGGGTATTCTACCAACTCACCATTTTATTGTGGTAAAAGCATATTCTCTAAGGCAAAAGCACTAAAATACTTCTAAAAACCTGTACTCAATTTCAAAAGATGATGAAAAAGATAAAGTCTCTTCTCTAAGTAATTATGTAGTAAAATTAGTGGTAATTAATGGATTATTAACATTTGTTCTGGAAGTGTAGATATGTTTTGCATTAGTCAGCCACCCCCAAAGAAAAAGGAATTTTCTTTCTTTCCTTCTTTTTTTACACTAGGGAATGAACCCAGGGGCACATAACCACTGAGCCACATCCCTTTTTTATTTTGAGACAGGGTCTCACTAAGTTGCTGAGACTCCTCTTGCCTCAACCTCTAAAATCACCGGGTTTACAGGCATGTACCACCACGTCTGGCCCTGATTCTATTTTATTTTGAGACAGGGTCTCTTTAAATTACTCAGGCTGGCCTAGAATTTGCAATTCTCTTGCCTCAGCCTCCTGAAGACTTGGGATTATAGGTATACACCTCTATGCCTAGGGGAAAAAGATAATTTATGACTAAAGAATATCATGAAAAAGACGAGGTACTATAATAAAATTTATAGTTAAAATATGCTAAAGTACAAAAGAAACTCAATTTTGGATTTGAGAAATTGAAGGAAAAGTGAGAATATGTAAAGAAGCTTCTTACAGTAGATTTTTCAGGGGAAGATGGTATATCAAATGCTTCATTAGTATGATTTTCCAGATCTTGCTGAGAATGTGAGTATTGAATTTGGTTCCAACTATTTTTCTTAGATTGTTTAGGTGGTAAAGCTGGGGGTTGCCCATCTTCAGGTGTTTCTTGTGATCTAGGAAAAAAAAAGGGAAAAAATATTTTAGAAGTTGTCTCACACAATTATTTTTTAAAAATATATTTTTTTAAAAGTTCAAATCAAATAACCCAAATATTTACAATGTCTAGGCGGAGACAGGCTTTAAATACCATAATTATCTGAAAGTACCACTTTTATTTTATTATTTTTTATAAGTAAATATTTTATTTTATTTTATTTGTTAGGTATAGATGGACACAACACAATGCCTTTATTTATTTATTTTTTTTTATGTGGTGCTGAGGATCGAACCCCGGTCTCACCCTTACTAGGCGAGCACTCTACCACTGAGCCACAATCCCAGCCCAGTACCACTTTTAATAAAAACTTTACCTTTAAAGTAGAAAAGTTAATTTCTTTTCCAAATCAGTAAATAATTATGATAAAATGTACTTCAAAAATATTCCTATGAAGATATGTTATTTTGTTTTAGCATTTCACATAACTTTCTAAAATATATATATTTTAAGGTTTTCAGTGTAGTCATGGTTAGAGAATAAGGTAGGCAAAGAGAAACCAAACCTGAGAAGTGGGCTGTGCCACACACAAAACAACTGAAATATTTGGCCTATTCTTTTTTTTTTTTTGAAGCCAGAGGTGCTCTATAACTGAGTTACACCCCTGGCTCTTTTTATTTTGAGTCAGGATCTAGCTAGGTTGTCCAGGTTGGCCTCAAACTTACAGTCATCTTCCCTCAGCTCTCTGAATTGTTGGGATTACAGGTATGCACCACTGTAGCTGGCCTATTTTCTTTAACATGATTCAAGGAATGTAACTTAATAATGTAACAAGATTATAATAGGGCAGAGATCATCACTGAAGAGACAAAACTGGATGAAATAAGTGTCAGATACATAATTTAAGGTAAGAACGCAAAAATACAATTAACATTAGGGAGCATAACCCTCAACTTGTGGCAGCAGGAATTGATAGAAAAAACTAGATATTATAGGAGAAATTTCAAGGTAGAAATTGTAGATGTTAAGAACAATCACAGTATATATAATACTATCTGAGTTTTCCACAAAGGCCAGAAGGGGGAACCAGAGGTTTTGTTTCCCTTGGAAGTGGACACTATAGATATTGAGTTTGGAAGATATAAAAGAACAGGAAAGGGAAAAATAGTTCTCCACAAGAGCACTGACCACCACTGAGGTTATCATCTACCTCTGAGATGGCAGGAGGCCCTCTGGGAAACATAAGGATTACGATCTCATTGCCTAAGGACAGATAAGAGTTTTAACTCTGTATATCTGTATATCAAGCCACATGGCTGTGGCTGTGGAATTCAGATACATACTTCACTTAGTATCTACTCAGTTTTGTAGAGAACAAATAAGTAGAGAACAAATAATGAAAATTTCATGTTTAAGTGCTGGTGACAGGGCAATATCTTGTCACATAGAAGCAAAAAAAATGTTAAAACTGTCAATCAACATGGGGGCAAAAACTTGCCTATTTCAGTCCATTCAGCTTTAATTTCTCAGAAAATATTTTAACAACAGCAGTGAAAGCAACTTATTTTGCAGTCAAAGCAGCTCTCTGTTGCTGCCTTTAGCAATTTGCTTCCTAATAAAAAATAAAATTTTAATCATGCAATTCACATGCTCTGTGATTATTTTTATACAAATACCCTGGCTTCATTGTAAAATATTGTGTACTAGTATTTGTGGTGTAAATTTATTACAATAAACATCTGTTAAGTTGTTAAAAATTAATTGAGGGTAATTATTTATATCTCATAAAACTACAAACTAAAACAGTCTAATTTTCTGTTAAAGAGAAGAAAATCGTAGACTATGGTCTCTGTTACACCAACGTATAAATGGTGACTATTCTACACAGTATAACCAACGTCCTATACTCCACTTAAAAATGACAGAATTGGTAAGATGATCTCAAGATCTACTTCACTACAATTTCATCTGTCAACTTTAAAAAAAGTGTAAGATCTCAAAAACCATTATATGCTGAAAAGCTTCCTGCTTAATCCAACATTGTCTGAATTTTTTTTTTTTTTCACTTTTAGCCAATGGTGAAACTAAAATCTACGGAATCCACACAACAAAGAATTTTTTTTTCTAAATTGCAAAAAACAAAAGAAAAAAACCAAAGTCTTGTTTGGGGTAAAAAGTTCTCAATAGTTTAGGTAGAGAAGGCTTAAATTTCTGTTCTGTAAATTGGGATAAATGCTTTAAGTGTGGCTTCTCATCTATACAATGGATATTATATATCTTTCCTACTTCTTTGAGTTCTTCTAAGTAGAACAGAGATAATTTATGTGAAAGCCAACTGTAAGCAACCAATGTATTATTATAATTAGGGGAGGTGTCTTGAGAACTTACAAATAATGATTCTCTCTGAAACTCTAGTGGCGCCTCATAAATTCTGATATTGGGATCTAAATTTACTCCCTAAGTGTTGGACCATTAAACCTACTACCTGCCTTTGTGTTATGCTTGTCAAAATCCTGTTTTCTGTAAGTTCTCAAGACACCTCCCCTTTTTTGCAACTTTCTGTGCCATAAAGCTGCACTCCTTGAGAGCTGCAGGGCTGTCTTCTATTCCCACGGCTTTCGGGAGAGACAGCCCCAGCCGGTAGGAATTACAAACTTGCTTTAATTTGATTTAAATTGGAGTTAGTGGTCTTTTCTTTGCAGCGTGGTTTAACACTTATTTTCTTGGAACTCATTATTATTCAGGTTAAAACTGGTCAAATTTCACATGCAATGTTATAAATTCAAAATTGAATACAAACACATAAACTTATACCTCATGTCCTATGAGAAAGCTACAATCATTTTAAATTCTGTGAACCAAGGAGAGGAAGAAAAAACACTGCATGGTTATACTCTCTTCTGAATATACTTCTGCACTTTAGATCAGAAAGCAAAAGAAAAGAATTTTGAGGGGGCAAATGATTTGGGGGGCTTATAATCTATGTATGTGAAAATATTCAATTGTGTGCATTTTGTTTTTCTAAAACAGGCTCTGCAAAAAAGCCAGATGTGGTGGTGTACACCTATAACCCCAACCTCTCAGGGAGCTGAAACAAGATTGCAAGTTTGAGTCCAGTATCAGCAATTTATAACAAGATCCTATCTCAAAATAAAAGGGATTGTAGCTTAGTGGGTAGAGAACCCTTGGGGGTTCAATCCCCAGTACTAAAAAAAAAAGAAAGAAAGAAAATAAGTTATGTGTAGTGGTATATGTTTATAATCCCAGTGATTTGGGAGGCTAAAGAAGAGAATCAAGAGTTTACTGAGGGCAGCATGGGCAAGACCCTATTCTCAATGTCTCAAAACAAAACAACAACAACAAAAAAAAAAAAAAAAAAAAGAGAGAGAGAGAGAGAAAAAAAAAGTAGATTAAAATAATTTGGTTAGGACTCAATATTTATACTTTAGCTGGGTGTGGTGCCCCCCACCCATAATTCCAGCAACTAGAGCGATTGAGGCAAGGAGGATTGCAAATTTGAGGTCAGCTTGGGCAACTAAGCAAGAACCTGTCTTTTGGGTTTTTTTGTTTTGTTTTTTGGTACTGGGGACTGAACTCAGGGGCACTTTACTACTGAGCCACATCCCCAGCCCTGCTTGCTGAGGATGGTTTGAACTCTGTCCTCCCATTTCAGTCTCCCAAGCCACTGGGATTTTAGGCATGTGCCACCACCACCTGGCTGAGACACTGTCTTTTAAAAAAAATGGTGCAGGGGTGCTGGAGATGTAGCTCAGTGGTAGAGCATCCCTGAATTCAATATAGGGGAGAAAAAAATAAAGAAAATTTACTTTATACTTTTTAAATTTTAAAAGAAGAAAATGATTATTTAAAAAAACCCAAAAGTTTAAAATTTTAATTTTTAACATAATAAAACAATAAATTTCCATCAATCCTATCCTTTGCTAACTCATTTATGGTATGTATATCTGTCCTACTCATTCATTACTCATAATATATACAAACCATCAAAATGTTTTACCTAAGATGTAAGTTACCAAGGCCTTGATAGCTTAGCTAGTGTTCTATGGTTGGCCCAGTCTAAGGACAACGATGGCTCAGATATCTAGTCATGTTTTTCTAGAGTACCTACAATCGCATTGCTGACCATTCATCTCTTCTATCTGTCACTTTAAGCTGTTCACATTCACTATATCTTGTACTCCTTTCTCTTTCTCAACAATTAATGAATCTTCTTACCTATCTGTGTCTTGTACATATTCTACTTTTTTTAATATTAATTTTTTTATTTGTTTTAATTAGTTATACATGACAGTACAATGGTACATCTTCTACTTTTTATAAACTCATTTTCGCACATACATAGAAACTCTGTATTATATAAGCCAATAAATTAAGGTATTGAACATTAATGTGAGGATATCATTAGTATATTAAATTGATGGACTAAATACTAAATTAAGGAGTTGAATTTATATATCAATCAGGTGCAATGTGATGTAGAAATGAACTTTAGAAATGATGCGTGCGTTGTGTGGCAGTGGTGGCCTGAGAGAATCCAAGTCGTTTAAGGTGGAGATGTATTCCCAACCCCAGGTTGCAATAAGCACCCTAACTGTGCCCAATGGACCTGTAGCTGCTCCTGAGTCAGAAGGCCTGGACCATGTTCAGAGCGCAAAGACAACAAAAGCTCAAGGAACATTTGTTAACAAAACAAAAACAAAAAACATTTTGCATACAAACAGAAAATCAGATATCCAGTAGAGAACAGAGAATAATGACATCTGAGGACCAGGTCCAAGAAGGGACAAAAATTCTGAAACTTAAACAAAAATGGGTAAAAAAGAAAATATCAAAAGAAGCATGCCTCTAATCCCTGTGATACGACAGGTTGAGGCAGAAGGATCCCAAGTTCAGGGTCAGCCTAAGTAATTTTATGTTTCAATAAATTAAAAGGACTGGAGATGAGGCTGGGGTTGTGGCTCAGCAGTAGAGCGCAAGCCTAGCACACACGAGTTGCTGGATTAGATCCTCAGCACCACATAAAAATAAATATACTGTGCCCATTTACAACTAAAAAAAAATTACAATAAATAAATAAATAAATAAAATAAAGGTATTGTGTCCATCTACAACTAAATATACATATATGTATTTAAAAAAAAGGGCTGGTGATATAGTTCAGTGGTAGAGCACCCTTTGGTTCAATCCTTAGCCCACTAGTGTAAAGGCAGGGTGGGGAGCGAGAAAAAGGAAAAAAATATCAAAAGAGTAACAGTAATATAACAATGAGCTGGATACAGTAGTACAGGTCTGTAATCTTGGCTACTTGGGAGGCTAAGACAAGAGGATCACAAGCTTGATCCCAGACTGGGTAACTTCGAAAAACCCTGTCTTAAAATAAAACCTTTTAATGAGTTAACCAATTCTACTACTGCAACTGAAACATAATTTTGAGGATGACAAACTCTGCAGTCATTACAAATTAAGGTGATCCCCAAAGTCAAAATAAGACATTAAAAGCCAGGTATTTCACCCTAAAAGCAATAATAAAAAGTAACAAATGACTGCAGAGAAACCAAAGCAAGATGTTATACACCCAAGAAACTTGTACTAGGATCTTATCTTGGCCAAACTATTCAGTCTAATATTAATTCATTTAGAAAACCTCTACAAGTCAAAGAGTTGTGCAACTACACAGATTTTCAACTACTCTCTCTAAAGCCACAAAGCCTCAGCCCGTAAACACCAGTAATGGGAAGTGAAAGAGGAGCCTCCAGTATGAATGCTACCATTAAATTTGTAAGCACTACATCCCAGAACACACAACATATGTGACATCCTATTAGAAGTCACCATAATAATACCCAGGATACCATGAAGTAAGGAACCAGCAGAATCCCTGCTAGTGTTAAAATTCAAAAAGGGCCTCATGAAAAAGAATTATTACAGTCAAAAATGATTTTCTCTAGTGTCAAACAAGTTCTCAGAACATAAAAAGATATAAGGCATCACCATAGCATCTGAAATTGTAGCCGGGCCTGCTTCATCGTCTAATATCGAACTGATAGAAAAGCTAAAAAAAAAAAAAAAAAAAAAAAAAAAAAAAAAATACACCAGTAAAGACATACTAGAACAAAAGCAATTGTTGAGAGAATCAGCTCAGTCCAGAGAAACTGCAGAAAAGAGAAAAGCTCATCTGAGTGATTGGAAAGCTGGTAAAGCAAAAGCGATGAAGAGCCATCCTAACTCAGTAGTTACCCAGCCTGAGCCTAAGTTCAAAATGAAAAATCATTTGGGTCCTGTCAGACTACCATGGCAAAAGAAGAGGAACAAAGGTTGCTTATGGAAAAAATTCTAAATAAAACATTTTTTGAATGCCTGAACATAATTAAAAAGGGATGCCTCAAAGAAGAAATGTTACAAACATTGAATAATCTGGTCAAAATATATCAGTTGCATTATGAGAAAATGAGGTGTTAAAGATAAAATTTATGTTTTTACATTGACTATCTATCTATCTATCTATTATCTATTTGCACCAGGGATTGACTCTAGGGGTGCTTTACCACTGAGCTATACCTTTAGCCTTTGGGTCTCACCAAGTTGCTGAGGGGCCTCGAACTTGAAATCTTGCTGCCTCAGCATCCCAAGCTGCTAGGATTACAGGTAAGTGCCACCACACCAGCAAAAAATTTTAAAATAATTCAGTGTCACCTGGGCATGGCGGTGCTCACTGTAATGCCAGCAACAAGGGAGACTAAGGCAGGAAGACTGTAAGTTCGATACCAGCTTTGGCAATCTGATGAGATACGGTCTCAAAGTAAAATGGGCTGGGGGTATATGTCAGTGGTAGAACACCCCAGGACTCAATCTCCATAACTAACAAACAACCACCAAATTTATAATATACCTTCCTGCTTTTAAAACAGAATGACCACACTGCCCCTTTCTTTGATTAGTATGAAAGTAAAAATGAGGCTGGAAGTATAGCTAATTGGTAGACTGTATTGCCGAATATTCCTGAGGCCCTAGGTTGAATCCCTTATGGAACAAAGAAAGATCAACCCACTTCAAATGTTATGGGTTATGAAGTTTTCCACCAAACTTAATTTAACTAGACTGTTGTGCTCTGTTTCATCCCTTAAAATGACTATGGTTCTTCATTATCTCTTTGTGTTTGTTTTTGGTACTGGAGATTTAATACAGAGGCACTTTACCATTGAGCCTCATTCCTAGCCCTTTTTATTTTGAAATACGGTCTCACTAAGTTGCATAGGGTCTTGCCAAGTTGCTGAGGCTGGTCTCTAACTTGTGACCCTCCTGCCTCAGCCTCCAATGTTGCTGGGATTACAGGCATGCACCACCATGCCTGGTTCACTATCATTTTTCATCTATGATACTAAGTCTGTATCTGTGCTCTCTTGGCTCATCTTTTGATTGTAAATGAGGTTACCAAGAATAGTTTAACTAAATATGCCATTTTAAGTGAAGGTACTTCGTGTAAGAAAAAAAAAAAAGGTGCTCAATACAGTGAATATTCACAATTTTAAATCTAATGTGAGTTCCCTTGGTAACCTGTGTCAATGTTAAAACTTTAACTTTCATAGATTCATATGATAGTTTGTCATCTATTAGAATGGAGTGTGGGAAGGGAAATATAATAATATTTAATAAATGTCATTTTAAGTCTGGTCTGGTGGTATATACACACCACCTAGCAACTTGGGAGGCTAAGGTAGAAAGATCACAAGTTCAACGCCAGCCCCAGCAATTTAGCAAGGCCTAAGCAACATAGAGATGTGACTCAGTGATTAAATATCCCTGGGTTCAATCCTCAGTGCCAAATAAATTAATAAATGTTATTTTAATTTAGGAAGCATTTCTAAAATAGCCAATACTTGCACTGCTTTCTTCTTCATTATATAATGTTCACATTTAAATCATGTCCTCTGAAACATAATTGTTACAATAAATACTTTTGTTCTCCCCACATAAATACCAATGAAATTGTTTTATAAGGTCAAGAAGTAATATTTAAATGGCATGTATCATGTCAACTCACAGTCTCAAATAAGTGGATTATAAAAAGATCAGTTTAATATATAATGTGAATGTGGTTGAAGATCATATACTTAGTCCTTTATGTTCATTCCATTTATACATTATCTTTTATTTATTGTCTTTTCATGTTGTAGAAAGTAAAAGTTTATGGTGCTTTTTTTTTTTTGCAATGCTGGGGATTGAACCCAGGGCCTATTGCATGTTAGGCAATTGATCTACCACGGAGTTATATCCCGAGCCCTTTCTTTTTTGAATTTTATTTTAGGACACAATTTTATTAAATTGCCCAGGCTCTCCTTAAACTTGTGATCCTTTTGCCTCATCTTCCTGATAACCGGGATTACAGGTATGTGCTACCTTACCAGCTAGAATTTCCATTGTTTTAAAATTATGCAGCCAATAAGTATACAATAATAATACCTGTATAAAAATTTGATATATGCATGGTTTCTAAGGCTTATTCAGTGTTAACCATCTTAATAAGCATTTTTTAACTTTTTAAAAATGTTTTTTCTTAGTTATCAATTATTGTTTATTTATTTATATGCAGCGCTGAGAATACCTCATACATGCTAGGCAAGTGCTCTACCACTGAGCCGCAAACACAGCCCCTTAAAAAATATTAAGGAAGAAAACATCATGTGCATCGGTACCTGCCTGTAATCCCAGCTACCCAGGAAGCTGAGGCAAGTTTGAGGATTGCAAGTTCAAGGATAGCCTTGGCAACTTAGTGAGACACTGTCTTTAAAAAAAAAAAAAAAAAAAAAAAAAAAAGCTGTACCTTTCACTACCCTACTTCCTGACCACAATGCTACAAAAGCTGCACAAATATCTGAGCATATGCACTTAAAATTAAAGATAGTAGCAACCAGAGGTAAAGGGAGAAAGAGGCAACAAAAAATTCTCAGGGACAAATAGGCTCATTTACAAATACTAAATATTCAAAAATAAGATAAATAACATCCTGTATCAAAAATTATTTTTAATGAAATAATTTTTAGCATCTGAAAATATAGAATTAGGAAGCAAAATAAAAAAAGGTCTCACGGTGATGATTCCAGAATGATGCTATTAGCTTGTGTAGATGATGGAGATCTCTGACTCACAAAATCTTCACTTTGTGAAGTGTGAACCACATGGTCTACCAAATGACCAACTGAAGATGGTCGTAATCGGGTTCCCTCTTGTGTGAATGCAGAATTTCGACTAAATGAAGAAGAGAAAAAAAAGCTTTAATTCAAATATTCCAAGTTTCTTAATTATATGGTTTCATGAGACAGTGGGGATTGTGTTTTTAAGACTAACTATGTTGACTAAGCAAAGTGTCTGACACAAACAAATCTGTCACAAGAATTTTACCCATTCAATCATTTATTATCTCTATCCAAATGTTTCTAGGTTTTAGTCACTACAATTTTATATCTTATCCAAAATTTATAAAATTGATTAGAATAAATGATTTAGAAATATCTTCTAGTCTAAATTCTTTTTTAATTCTTCTGTTTTTTATTTATGGGATTTCACATCCTAAGAACAGGCACCAAATACCATATTTCTATCCTTACAAGTGACTGTCATATAAATAATTGTTGTCATTACAATTGTTAGTTAAAACAGCTGATATTAGAGAATTTATTATGTACTACGCATTGTTGTAAGCATTTTGCATATACCACCTCTTTTTATAATATGTATTTTTTTAGTTATAGGTGGTCACAATACCTTTATTTTACTTTTATGTGGTACTGAGGATTGAACCCACTGCCTTACACGTGTCAGGCAAGCGCTCTACTACCGAGCCCCAGTCCCAGCCCCATATACTACCTCTTTAGTCCTCAAAACAGTACTATAAGAAAGACACTGTTGGGGCTGGTGTTGTGGCTCAGAGGTAGAGTGCTTGCCTAGCATGTGCAAGGAAGGCCCTGGGTTCGATCCTCAGCACCACATAAAAATAAATAAATAAATAAATAAAACAAAGATATTGTGTCCAACCACAACTAAAAAATAAATATTAAAAAGACACTCTTATAATTTTGTAGATGAGGAAAATTAATTAATTTGCTCAAAGTTTAAAAAGCCTTACTATCTACCATAATTAGATGCAACACACTTATTACTATTAAAGTCCACATTCTTAACCACTACCCTGTACTAGCTATTTAGAATTTAAAAATACCTAAAATTGTTTCATTAATCCGAAAACTTAATAAGATGCTGTTAAGTAATTAATCATCTGTTTTAATTTTTCTTTTGTCATCTATAACTCATTATAATTATTTAGTGGTGCTGGTAACAAATGGAGAAATGTCTGGTTGCAAAAGGGAGCGAAAAAGAAGGTTCCAAAATTTCTTCAAACAAGCTGATGAGCATACACCTTATTTTATAAGGCAAACTAACTCAGTAATCTGCAATGGGCAAGATAGAAACTATGGAGTTCAAACAAACAAAAAAGAAACTACATAGTCCAATTTATCTAGCAGGAAGGAAGACACCTAGGTATAAAGTTTTGTGAACCAATTTTTTTTTATACATATACTTTTTATTGTTCAATTGGTAGAAGTTTATTTTTCAGCTGACACTACCCATCAGTGATTTAGCTTTTAGAATTTAGTGAAAACTTATTGAACATTAATGTGTATAAAATATTTCTAAAGAAGACTTCTTCAAACATTAATATTCTAGCCAGGCATGGTGACTACTGCCTGTAACCCTAAATACTCTGGAGGCTGAGGCAGGAGGATCACAAGTTCAAAGCCAGCCTCAGCAACTTAGTGAGGTCCTAATCAACTCAGCAAGACTCTGTCTCTAAATAAACTATAAAAAAGGGCTGGGGATGTGGCTCAGTGGTTAAGCGCCCCTGGGTTCAATCCCTGGTACCAAAAAAAATAATATATACCAAATATTCTATACCAAAATTCAAGTATTCTACAAATGAACTTTATAGGATAACAAAGTTTGGTGTATATACATTTGGTTCATGTGCTGATACACATTTGTTTACCATTATCTTAATTAGGTGAACATAATGTTACTATTATAAAATTAAAATAATCAATACCTTTGGTCACAAGCTCCTTGTTTTATTATTAACACCAAAAGCATTTTATGATAAATGCTATAAAAAGTGCTAAATCACAAAGTTCTTTTTAGCATAGATAAAGCTAAGCTTATGGGGACTACTGTTGTAAATTCTTTTCTAGGCCACAGAAAATGAATGGGATGTTTTTGCTTTGCTATGGATTGAACCCAGGGTCTTGCACATGCTAAGCCAAACATTATCACAAAGTTACACCCCTATAGTAGGGTGGGGTTTTGTATAAGAGAATAGCATCATTTTGTAAAGCATTTACAAACAATCTTTACACTGAGAAATTCTGTTGGGAATTCACATGGAAAAGGATGTGTAAAAAACAATCTGAAGAGATTTTAAGTCCACTAATAGATCTTAATTTATTCATTAGTGACGTTTACTATGAAGGACAACTACTGAGGAAACTGAGGGTCAATGTGCTACTTCCTCATTCTCCAAAGCTATTATTCCATGCCACTTTTGCCATAAGCAAGGAGGATATAATGCTATGGAGCAACAAAAAACATACTTGATCAAAAAGAGTTAAATTTTTATGTAGACACTCATGGAAATATACAGCTAATAATCTGGCAACTAGCTAAATACAAACTTGGTGTTGGATAGTACTTACTGATTAGGAGTCCCAGGTGGAGATCGAGATGGAAGGCTTTGTGTTTCTAACCTGTCATCAGATATTGAATTTCTGCTTACTACTTCCCAATCCATTAATTTCCGTGCCAAAGGTTTACTTGGGGATCTGCAGAAATAATTTAAATAATACATTAAGAGTTTTATTTTTATAGTCCAAACTATAAACCAAATTCTTAAGTGTTTTAATAGATTACACTCTAGATGAGTCAGCATAAATTACAAATAAATGTAATTTCTTTCTTTCTTATAATAGCAAAGTGGATTTTTCTTTTTTACAAAAGCATTTTAGAAGGTTAACTATTCTGTCTTGTGGTGAGGAGTGATTACTTGTCAGCTATCATAGTGATATAAATATGAGAACTAAAAGTAATCTTCAAATAAAAAGATCTTGATATTGATCTGTGCAGAGATCATAAACCCTTAGAATTTTAGGAGTGTTAACAACTAAAAAACCCCCAAACTTTTTAATATGCAAATTCCAAAACTGGTCAAAATTCATTGAAAATGTATGGCATCTATTTAAACTAGCTTTTAGAAATTCAGGGTTATATGGAGGCTAATACAATTAATTAAGCTCCTTATATAAAAATATATAATAAATTATCTTCCAGGTTTTTAAAATTTCTGTAATAAATTCACACCACATAAAATGTTTGTTATTTTCTGTTACATCATAATTTTTTAAAAACATTCTATTATCCTACTACATCATGCCAGGCACTGTGGCACATAGCTATAATCTCAGTGACATGGGAGGCTGAGGCAGGATGATTGCAAGTTCAAAACTAATCTAAGCAATTTAGCAAGGCACTAAGCAACTCGGCAAGACCTGTCTTAAAAAAAAAAAAAAAAATCCCCATTACAAAAGTAAAAAAGGAGATCATAAAAATGTAGGTAGAATTTTTGTGTGAAATAAAAAAAAACCAAAGCTATTTTTAGTTATAATTCATAGGATTTCTTTTTCTAACTTATTAGGACTTTTCCCCTTAAAGTTTGCCACCCCCCCAACCTGTCATGTACTGTATGCACACTTTTGTATAAATAAAAAAGATTATTAAGCAAGGCATAAGGCAAATTAATATTAAGTCACACAATTACAACTGAAACAGTGTCACGTATATAGTAGAAAGCATTAAAATAATTATAAGGAGAACTGAATACTAGTTCTGGCCTTCCCCTAACAAATCAGTTAAGTTTCTATATCTATTGGTATAATATGATCCTTATGCCCTTCACATTACCTCTGAATTTAATGATTTGTGATAATTAAATTTTCAGAGCAATGTTTTAGTTTTACTAACATGAGTTAACTTAATTTACTTATGAATCCAAACCACAAAAATGTCCTAGCATTTTAGGAATTCATAGTCAAAAACTTTTTAGTTTGGTATAATAATATCTCCTTAATTTAAAAAATAATGGGCATTTAAAAAAAAAAGAGATATAATGTTGGTTAAACAAAAAGACATAGCTTCATTTTCCATAAGTAAATTCAAAATAATTTAAGTATGAATATTTCCCACTATCATGAGTTTAAGTTACAGGATACCATTTAGTTCAACTCCTTCACACTGCAATGCAAATGTTCATATCAATCAAAACAAAATTAATGTGTATTATTTCATTCATTTTTTTAAAATAAACTTACCATAACTTACCATTTATGGCTCTTCTATTAGTGCTAATCCTTAAGGTTTATAAACTATTCTTCCCTCATATCTTAAGACTACTAAATGAAAGCTGTAAGAGAGTTCACTATCTATAGTTAGGACATCAACTACTTTCATTTTCTAAGAGAAGGAAAAAAATCCTTTGAAGGAAGAAAATATCCAGTATACTCACCTACTATAAACCGTCAAAACTCTTTACTCTTCTTCATAAGACTAGGCATGTTTGGAATGCTTCGAATTCAAAGCTAAATTTCAGGTATTTTATTTTATTAACAGTTTTAACCTCAGAGACCCACCCACTCAAACTTGCTGTCTATGTTTCCTGTTGAGTGTGGAAATTTCAGAGAAAAAAATACCACACTACAGTGTGTTTGCAATGTGGTAAATTTATTTTCTGACCATGGCACCTATTTTTCTGTTGTATGAGAATGCTGTTTTGCTTTCTTCTTAGATATTATTATATGATAACTGAGGAAGTATGAAAGCAATTTGAAGAGTTGAAATAAGAAAAAAATGCTATAAAATTTATAATAAAAAATTTAAGAAGAAATTTTTTCTATCTATTTATACTGTCAACTAAAATTTCAAAACAGGTGAGAAATTCTGGAATTCTTTAATATTTTGCCAAAATAATTTAAAAGTTGCTGAAATTACTACAGAAATTTGATGTATATGTATCAGGTCATCACAACAATATTATATTAGGAAAACAATCCCAGAAAGTCTAGTCTTTTAAACATGAAAGGATAAATAAAATAGCCCAGTACCACTAAAACCTCTTCCCAGTTGATGACTTCTTACTTCAAGGAGAATTCATAAAATTCCAGCAAAACAGAAGGAATAGAATAGACATTTGAGGATTATCATGTTGGAATTCCAGCTATACTGTTCACTGAATGCAAACTTGTTTTATAAAATAACCTATTAACTTCACATTTTAATAATGACTACACAAAATGAACAAGTAAGATGTAGGTATAGTTTCTAAAAGCTGACATGACCAAAAATATTAAAATGATATTAATAAAGAAACTTTTTGTGGTGCTGGGGAGACAGCTCAGAGAGAGTGTGCTTGCTTAGCATGTGCAAGGCCATGGGTTTGATCCCCAGCACTACCAAAAAACAAATAAACAAATAAACAATAAGTAAATAAATAAATAAAACAGAAACCATTTGCATTTGCTATTAACCTTATGGTAAAAATACACTTATAATACTGTATTCATGGACATAATATTATAGCTATCTTTAAATTTTATCTTTATTTTTTTTTTAGTAAATATTAAGTAAGAAAAAAGCTTACTGTTAGGAAAGGAAAGAAAAAGGCTTAAGGATATTGTTCTGGTGCAGTTGTAACAGGAAAAATATTTTCATTTTAATAAGTACTTAAATGAGTATTACAAAATAAATTATAATACTCAGAGCTAGAAAAAATTAATTCTAAGTTAGAATAATAAAGTTGATAAGGAAATTATTTCTTCCCTAAGAGCAATTGCAAAGAAAACAATTTTATATTAACACTTACTGTGCATTTTAACTTTGTACAGGTCTTTATTACTAACTGGAAATAATGGTGTCTAGCACTGTAAAAAGGAGGATTTTGAGTAATTTCAGGAATCATGTAAATTAGGATAACCATCTCTGTGTTTTGACTTTTTCCTCCCTTCCAAAATAACCAAGCCACTAAAATTTATGTTAAATAAAAAGATAACTTCCCCTCATAAATCTAAAACTAAGATATAAGAATAAACTGAATTCAAAACTTTTCTGAACAAATGCTAAAATGAATTATACTATTAAAATTCAAGAAAACTTATCACAGCAAAATGCTATATCCCTAACCTGCTGAATCCTTCCCACCAAGCCATTTTCATAGACTGTTTCCCTGTTAGATAGATTATTCATAGACAAATCAGAAAGAAGGTAACCCCAGAAGAAAGGAAAAAAGGTACGTAAATTTTACTCAAACACAAAATACATCTTTCTACAATTTTTTGCTTTAAATATAAGTAGCTCATAGTTATTATTTATTTTTATAAGCTCTTAATACATATTACTATGACAGTCACAAATAGTCTTAGCAACAACTCTTACTGTGAAGGCAGGGACATGGCAAGGCCAAAGGAAAGAACCCAAAAGTTACATTTACATTTAACTGTAAAAGTATTTAACTGTTTATAAAGACTTACTGCCATTATAAATGATTAGATTTTTTCAGTATCAAAGAAAATGTGCGTGATATGTTAAGTGATCAAAGCAAGCAACAGAAAGCATGAAACAATTTTGAAACAAATATATACATACATATATCTATAAATGCACAGAAAAATCTTGAGTAAACCCTGGAAACAATTTAAAATGGTTGTTTTGGGATGACAATTTTTCTTTAGGATATTTGACAATGTTGGAATTTTAAATTTAAATATGTATCCTATCTCTCATTTTCATTAATTAGAAAAAAGGATTAATTTTCATTTGGGGAAGGAAGGAAAACAAATCAATTGTGTGAATAAAGAAAAGGACTTGTGACTATTCTGAAATCATTTAGAAAAAATTTTTAATAACTTTAATTCTTCAAAAAAAATTCAGACACTGAAACAGAATTGGCTTACCTTGCAAATACCCTGTCTTTATTTGCCTTTTCTTTGCCATACTGAACTGACTGGACTTCAGTTCTCCCACTGAAATACATAAATATGTACAATATCTTAAAGAGAACTACAAGATAAAATGACAACACACAATATGATTATATTACAATTTTGTATGAGACAAGACATTTCCAACAACAACAATAATGACAACAAAAGCAGAGTAAGACTATTAGACTGAACTACATTCCAGTTCTACATGGATGGATGAAGTTTTCCCATTAATGAACAGACATGTGTTCCACAGACATTTTATTTTCAAATACTTAGAGTATGAGCAAAATAGTTTTGTGTGAGAGGAATTCCTTCCTGGTTCTGCCCTGCAAAAACATTCTCTCTAGAGTAAGAAACAGGCTGTTGTGCCCTAGTTTAAACAAACTCTACCAGCCCTGTCCTGTCCCCACAGGTTTGGGGTTTAGCTAGTGTCTCCACTATTCCTTAAGCAAGGAGCTAAAACATGGGGGATGATCTTGGGAGAACTGCTCTTTCTTTGGGCAAGCTTTTCTTCCTTTCAACTGCTAATAATCATACAGATAATGAGGACTGTTACATATATCCTCAACTCCCTACATGTCCAGATGTGGGGCAATTTCAGATTTCCAAATATAGAAAGGAAAACTAAGGACAGAAATAACATTAGGAGTTGGGCACTAAGATATTTATCTTGAAACCAATTAGTTGATCAGTAACACTTTATGCAAGGAATCTGATTATCCTCCTTTGTACACCAGTGTGTTCACACCAACTTTGTTAATAAAGGGTTGATTCTTAGAGAATTTTAAGATTTGTGACATCTCATTACTTAAGTGTGAATATATTTCTAGTACATCAAATATAACCATTTACAAATGCAGATATCAATGCATGTAAGACTAGCCAAATAAAGGTCTCCAAAGCTACTCAAGCAATTTTAAGACCATTTTCCATGGATAAGTATCAATAAGTGTGATCTGAAGAGCATGCTTGTGAGGTTTTAATGGAAAAATGAGAAACAGTAACATGATATTTTAATGCTAATAAGTTGAACTTTCCTAAGAAAGTATATTTCCTCTAAGGAAGACATAATAAATTAAGGTTCCCCACTATTTGTATTTCCACATTAGAATAAGATTTAATCCCTTGGGTATTCTGGAACAGAGATAACAGGGTGTGCATGGGGAGGCTGGTGGGGAAAATAATACTTCTGTCTAATGTTACCAGTCAAAATAATATTTCAACATTTTAGGTATGACAACAGTACCTGTATTGTCAACCACCACGTAACTATGAGGGAAAAAGTGTTTATTTAGTGTATAGTTATTAGGTATAAGACTGTTAAACATTTGTCATGCTGCCTTTCTTACTTCATTTATAAGACTACTAGTCACTCTAGTGATTAAAAAGTGCTTTAGATAATTTTTAAAGTTCTTAGGAACTATAAACATAAAGCTTAATCTTTAAAACTATAAATATATATGGCAAGTATATATGGTTTGTATATACACACTAACTTAATGTGGACTGAGCTGTCATAGTGATGGGGGCAGACAGATGTGAGTAGTGGGAACACAAGGTTAAAAGAATAATTCTATAGTATTGGCCCACTGTGCTGACCCCCACGTGCTTTCTTTTCCAAGAAGTAATTTACCTGTAGCCCTGCCTGGCTTAAGTAGACAGGATATGTTGCATTCCTCTGTAAACTACTTATTATCTATACAAGAAATGTAGGCCCAAAATAACATAGATAAGAAAATCCCAAGTTACCCTGAAGAGGAATACTTCTGTGACTCTTTTCACAGACCAGATCCCAAAACTCAGGGAGATAAGGATAATTCCTTTTAACCATAAAATCTGTAAGAATGCATGGTTAAGAATCCAATTTGAACAGGTCAGTATATGCTAAGGTGACTTAGAGTTGTCATGGCAGTGGAGATTTCAAAGTCTGATGTCATCCTTCTGCCAGTCAAAAGTTAAGAGGTGGGCCTGAGTGGGACTCTCTGGAAATTTCTCTGGGATCTCCAATAAAAATAAAGTGCAGGAGAGGCTAATTATCTCTCTTTTCTCTGACAGGACCCATTTTCTGGCTTGAGAGTGTCCTCTTTCCCTTTTCCTATCCCTTCAATAAACTCATGCCTATTGCTCTGAGTGACATGTCTGAAATCTTTCTGACTTGACTGCAAAAATCAGCTTTTGAAGGTTGGACAATAAGTATCAATTCTGTCCTTTTGTGCTCTGCTACAATTAGCAAGGGGTTTTGAGTGAATACACTCCATTTTGTAGATTCCTTTGCCACCTGTCTTTCTGTTACATTCCGTTTTCAGAAGGCACTGATGGAAGATCAGAAAGTAGAGAAAGGCAGAGCTGGAAACAGGAAGGTACTGGTAGCTGCTTTAAGTTGTGGGAACAGGGCACAGTGGGAAACAGCATCTTATAGATGGTTCCATCCTTGGCTAAAGCAACACTTCTCTGGATGATTCAGAATTGTGACAGTGGCTCTAACAGTGTAGTACCAAGTCCAGGCCTGGGAATTCCAGCCCAGAGTGACCCAAGCTTTTGATCCTTGGGCATTCTCCCTTCTTCCCGTTTGCCTCTTCACAGCCCTCTTATTCCCTATTGCCTTCCCAGTCTTTTTAACACCTGTATAACCATTTCCCTCGATTAAATTGCTTTTATTTGAAATATCAAAAAGGCTTTGTTCCTCTAACTAAATCCTGACAGATACATTAATTATCCAGTGAAGAGGATTCAAATGGCGCATTCTTATTCAAAAGGCTGGATTTACAATTGAATTTCATAATAAGGAAGGAACAATTTATTTACTTAAAATATTTTGTAGTTTTAGATGAACAGCATGCTTTTATTTATGTGGCGCTAAGTATGGAACCCAGTACCTTACACATGCTAGGCAAACGCTCTGCCACTGAGTTATAGCCACAGAAGGAACAATTTAAACAATACCAGAGAGTTTATGTTGCATATTATCTATAACACAGTCTTTAAAGGCTTAGTATTGTTATTAGAATATAGAACACCAAAATCTGACAGTAGATTACTGATCTTTTGAACAATAAGAAAGTGCCAGGATGGCTGGGAATGTGGCTCAAGTGGTACCGTGCTCGCCTGGCATGCATGCGGCCTGGGTTCGATCCTCAGCACCACATGCAAAACAGAGATGTTGTGTCCACCGAAAACTAAAAAATAAATATTGAAATTCTCTCTCTCTCTCTCTCTTTAAAAGAAAAAAAAATTGGCTTGTTTAAAAAAGAAAAAAAAGAAAGTGCCAGGAGTTAAATATATATACATGTCTGTATATAAATATATATGCTTATTATTTATAAGTAATTAAGTAATATAAAAAAGGTCTAAAAAGAAAAAAAACTGTTGTTTTTTTTTTTCTACCAACAAATCATCATCATTAAGCACAGGTAAAAATCATTTTGAAAAAAGTCTTGAAATAGAGACAGAATCTTAACGTGAATACAAGATATATGCCACTTGTTTAATTTTTACTTTTTTTGAGACAGGGTCTTACTACATTGTCTAGGCTAGCCTCAAATTCCTGGGATCAGGGCTGGGATTGTGGCTCAGTGGTAGAGCGCTTGCCTAGTACATGTGAGGCACTGGGTTCGATCCTTAGCATCACACACAAAAAATAAACAAATATAATAAAGCTATTTAAAAATTTCTGGGATAGAGCAATACTACTACCTCACTCTCTCAATTGGCTGAGACTACAGGCACGTATGACCATGCTTAATTATAATCCAGTTTTAACTGAAAAAGATAATGCTGATTTCCTTTGAAATAAAAGAAAGGAAAAGATGCTGTTTGTTTAAAAAAAATAAGGAAAAAAGATTGGGAAAGCTTAAGAAGTTCATGTATTAATATTTAAAGCTATACACTAAGGATTCAAATACTTCTTCTTACTTGTCTTTTTTTTTTTTCTTTTCTTTTCTTTTTTGTGGTACTGGGGATTGCACCCAGGGGCCAGGGGCACTCTACTATTGAGCTACATCTTCCCTTGCTTTTTAAATTTATTTTGAGATAGTCTCTAAGTTGCTCAGGCTGGCTTTGAACTTGCAATCCTGCCTTATCCTCTTGAGTTGCGGGTATTACAGGTGTGGTTCAATTTCCTTTTTTAAAAAATTAATTAATTAATTAATTTTAAAGTTAGAGTATTTATTTTACATTTTAAAATTTTACCATTTATTTCTATTCAGTAGTTATTATTTTTACAATTGTAAAGTATTGATTCTATTTGAATGATTTAATCTTCATTCTAAGAGAAGAATTTTTCTTATTTTGACTTATCTCTTGGTTGGCTTAATTTTACTATGAGTAGATGTTTTTCAAAGGCTCAGAGATTTTATATTACATGAGGTTTAACATACTGAATAATGTCATCCTGACTTTAGACTTGAATGGCAACCTGGGTGAGCTTAATATTTTTTTAGTCTCTTATTTTCATTAGGACTTCAGAGACAAAGAGTGGTCCACAAGCTACATAAGCCCGAAGACAAGTTTCATTTGGCATATTCATTGTTCAAAAAATATTTAATCCAAATAGATAAACTTCTAGCAAGACAAGTTATCAATATCAATTAGACAAGCAACATTGCTAAATTCTGGACATATTAAAAAGATAATGGTAACATTATGAACCTTATGCTAACAAAGCCAGTAACTTACATGAAATGGGAAAATCTGTTTAAAGAAAAACTACCAAAGTTTGCTCAGGACTGTCTTATCTATTAAAATTTTTGGACATTTATTCAAAACGTTCTAAGAAATAAAACTGCCAGAAGGATTAATTGGTAAATTATTTTTCTTTTCTCACTATTTAAAACTCATTGGGGTTGTGGCTCAGTGGTAGAGTGCTCGCCTAGCATGCACAGGGCACTGGGTTCGATCCTCAGCACCACATAAAAAATAAAATAAATAAATAAAACTCCTTTATTAGCAATCACAAAAGAGATCAATAATATCCAAGGCTGGTGAAGTGTCTTTCACAATTGGAATGCAATGCCTATTATTTATTTATGCCACTTTCCCCCCATATTTTTAATTGGTGCATTATAATTAAACACAACAGTGGGATTTGTTCCTATATCTTCATACATGCACACAATATAACAATGTAATTTGGTTTAATTAGTAAATTCTATCAAACATTTACAAAGGAAATTAGAGCATTACCACACAAACTCTCCCAGGAAAATAGAGATATTCCAATTTCTTCAATAAGGCCAATATTACCCTGACACAGAAACCTGACAATGTCACTATAAGATAGAAAACTACATACCAATATCCTTCATGAGCACAGATGCAAAATTTCTAAACAAAATTTTAACAAGTTTATTTAGACAGCATATAAAAAAGAGAGCACTATCCCAGGAATAGAAAACTGGTTTGACACTTGAAACTCAAAAAGTAACTGATAATATTAACAAACTGAAAAGAAAACCATATGATAATCTCAATAATTACAGAGAAAGCATTTAACAAAAATCAACACACAATCCTAACAAAAACTTTCAGGAAAGAAGAAACAAGAAGTTCTTTAACATGCATGAATGATATGGGGCATCTAGAAAAAGCCTACAACCAAAATCATAGTTCACAGTGAATAGATGACATGCTTTCTACCAAGATGAAGTAGAAGGCAAGGAAGTCTGCTCTCATCACTTGTATTCAACACTATTCAACATGGTAATCCAGATGGAACAATAAGGAAAGAAAAAGAAAAAGCATCAGATTAGAAGGGAAGAACTAAAACCATCTTTACCTTACAGGTAGAAAATCTGTTGGAAACTGCTGGGCTCGGTGGCACACACCTGTAATCCCAGTGGCTTGGGAGGCTGAGGCAGGAGGATCATGAGTTTAAAGCTAGCCTTAGCAACTTAGCGAGGCCCTAACCAACTCAGTGAGATCCTGTCTCTAAATAAATATTAAAAAGGGCTGGGGATGTGGCTCAGTAGTTAAGTGCCTCTGGGTTCAATTCTTGGTACAAAAAAAAAAAAAATCTGTTGGAAACTATAAGAACGCTCCTATAATAAATGAGTTTAGCAAGGCTTCAGGAAACAAGGTCAACATTAAAAAATCAACTGCATTTCTTCTAATGGCAACGATCAATTTGAAATCAAAATTTAACAAATACCATTTATGGATAAAAATATGAAATATGTAAAGCTAAATTTGACAAAGATATGCAAGACTTGTACATAAAAAACTAAAAACATTGCTGGAGAAATAAAAGAAAACCACATATTATGCTTCATGAGTTGGAAGAGCCTATATTTTTAAGATATCAATTCTCCAAAAATGGATATACAGATTCGGCATGATTCCAATTAGAATCCCTTTTTCATAGAAAATTGGTAAAATAACTCTAAAATTCAAATGGAAATACAAAGTGGCTAGAATATCCAAAATAACTTTTAAAAGAGGAGCAAAGCTGGAGGACTAATAATAAAAAATAAGTTCAACAACAGGACGATACAAATGAGCTACTCATTTTTGACAAAAGTGAAAAGGAACAACTAGATATAAATGTTCAAAAAATGAACTCCAACCCATATTTCACATCAAATATAAGAATTATATCCAAATGTATCACCTAAATGTAAGAACTAAATGTAAGAGCAAAAACTATAAAACTCTTAGAAGGAAACAGAAATAAATCTTTGTGACCTTGGATTAGGCAAATATTTCTTAGATATGAGAACAAAAGAAAAGTCGATAAAAGAACAAACTAATAAGCTTAACTCCATCAAAATTTAAAATCTGCTCTCTTGATACTGGTAAACACTAAAAAGATAACAGCAAGCATTATCTTTGAGGACCTGGTAGAGCTAGAAGTCTATTTTTTTGGGTGGTGGGAGGAATTGAACCCAGGGTTTTATGTATGTTAGGACAAGTATCCTACAACTGGGTTAAACCCTCAGTCCTAAAATAGAACTTACACTGCAGGAAAGTACACTGCATACACTGCAGGAAAGTTCACAAAGGTACAATTGCTTGGACAAAATGTTCAACAGTTCTTAAAAAGTTAAACATGCATCTACCATATGAGCTGGCCATTATACATTTAGGTATTTACCTAAGAAAATATCCATACAAAGACTTCCATATGCATGTTCACAGTAGCTTTTTTTGTAATAGCCTGAATCTGGAAACAATCCACTTGATACTCATCATCAAATGGATAACCAATTATTTATCTACACAATGGACTATTACTCTGCAATAAAAAGAAATGAGCTATAAATGCAGGCCAGAATATGGATGAATCTTAAAGTAATTATCCTGAGTAAAAGTGGATTGACTAAAGACTAAAAAGAATACTTAATATGTTTCACTTTACATAAAAATCCTAGAAAATTTATAAAGACAGAGAACAGATCAGCAGTTGTCTGAGGACAAAAGGTGGAAGAAAGGTTGTCACAGAGGAATATTATAGATCTTTTGTGGGTGATGGGTATGCTTATTATTGTGATTATGGTAAAGGATTCATGGAGATTCAAACATTAATTTTAAATGTAGTTTACTATGTGTGAATACCTCAATAAATCTATTTTAAAGTATTTCATTCAATTTTTAAAAATGTACAGATTCCACTTAATAGACCATAATCTCAGTTCTGTTGAAAGAATAAAGTCTGTCAATTCTAGATCAATCTTCTCCCAAGGGCAATAACAGTCAAATGGCAGTTAATGTTCTCTCCACCAATCTTAAAATATTTTTTTTTTGTTTTTAAATATGAGTTTATTTTTTTAAAAAATATATATGTATATTTTGTGTAATTATATGTATATTATGTGTGTGTGTATATATATGTTGTAGATGAACACAATACCTTTATATTATTTATTTATTTTTATGTTGTGGTGAGGATCAAACTCAGTGCGAGGCAAGCGGTCTGCCACTGATATCCCAGCCTCAAAATAGTTCCTAAACTTTTTTTTTTAAATTAATGTCTATGGTAGAAATTTCTTTTGGTGTCAGTGATGATCTTCTCCACAATAGTATCTTCAATTGTCTCTTCTATTTGTATTCATCACATCTAGACCTATGGTATGGTTTGGATTACTTTCTTGAATTTTTTCTTATCTGAGACCTGTTTGAATTGTAGTTGAAGTTTGGTTACTGTGTTTTATTAATTTCTTTGTCACATAAGTAAAATGGGTGTGTATGGAGAGAGAGGAGGGTGGGAGAGAGAGAGAGGGAAATGGATGGACAGATACATATTTCTGCAAGGATATGGGAAAAGAAAAGAGTTCTACCAGAAAGTAAGGTCAGTATTTGGGTGATTACCCCAGTGGTCATTTTGGAATTAGACTCACTGAAGAACACCCTTAGGTTGGTTTTATACTGATCTCACATTTCAAATAACTTAGAGCCTTTGAGATTTTTTTTCTGTAGGGAAGGTTCAATATTTTCCCTTGACTTTCACTACTGACTGCACACATTCACCCTCAGACTTCTTACCTTTAATTTTGCAAATAATTTTTCTCAATATTGCTTTTAGGAAAGTGAGAAAGGAGTTAAAACATCAAGTCACTGAAGATTGTGTTTTTATTTAATTAAAATTTTCCTAATTCTGTTTAATTGTTGCTACTAAACTTTTGTGCACTTTTATTACATTTTCTTGGGATGACAGGCATCTATTTTTAGTGATATACTCTGTAGTAAATTTCATGCTGTTATTTTTTACTGAGATTACAAACTGCGCATTTATACATGTCTATAATTTACAATGTAAATTTAAAAAAAAAATTTTTTAAGTTGCAGATGGACACAATGCTATTTATGTATGTATGTATGTATGTATGTAGTGCTGAGGATCAAACCCTGTGTCTCATATGTGCTAGGCAAGCACTGTACCACTGAGCCACAACCCCAGTCCCTACAATGTAAATTTTGTTAGGACACTTCTAAATATTTTTCTCCTGAACATATAAGATAAAATCAGCCTATCACATAATGGTCAAGGGTTTTATTTATTGAAGATAGAAAAATCTTATTTTGTGAACAGACAAAAATCAGTAACATTCGTCTTACTAGAAGATCATCAATAACTTTTTCTACACAAGTCTTATCTGGTTTCATTTTAAAACCAGCTTTTAAAGGCCTTTAAAAATTCCATAAATAAAACCAATCAGAGCTTCTTCAAATTTAGTTACTCCCCCAAAGACTTTCAGGAAAAAATAAAGCAGTCAAGAATAAATAAGACAAAGGGTGCAGTTGGATAGGAGAAATAACTTCTAATGTCCTACAGCACAATAGGATAATGCTGACTAACAACAATTAATGGTACATTTCAAAATAATTGATAAATGTCTGAGGTGATGAATATGCCAATTACCTTGATCTGATCATTATACATATTTTATAGGTATCAAATATTACATTATACCCCATTATGTGTCCATTAAAAATAAAAATGATTTAAGAAATAATAAATAAGACACTTGTAGGGAAAAGAAACCCCGGAGTTCTTGTTCAACAACTAAACTTGATTTTGCCTAATGATTGTTCTGAACTCTTTAAAATAGATGGTTTAACAACTCAGAAATATGCTAAATTATAAATTTAAAAAAATATATAAACTCATGCAGAATCTATCTTAATTTTTACAAATAAAATAAATGTGCCTGAACAAAGAGAAGTTTTTACTTAAATAGTAAAGAGACAATGGAAATCTAACCCCTGTCTAGACTATAAATAAGTTAATGTGGTTAATTTACTTTAGATAATAAGGACCTGAAATAAAGTCAATAGAATGGGTCTCTGAAGCCTGATGAATCTCTGAAGAACACATAGAACTTTCTGATACATATGTAAGGGCTGCATTCCATAGGGACTCCAAAGGTAGGTATGAGGAGCAATAATTTTATGGTTCTATCAACTAGACAATTGCTTTCATGGGAGGAAAAACATCTAACAAAAAATTCTTAATACAACAGTAGTACTTACCAGTACCGGAATTTTGAACCTAATGTAAAATAATGTGCAAAAAAATTCTTTTGAGGTGGAAGTGGTCTGTCCAAACGGAAGAATGTGTGATGTTCTACACATGCTTTCCACAAATTCTTACAAGCTCGGTAATTCACCATATTAAATCCCAGTAGTGTTTCTCTAGATTCATGCTGTAATAAACCAAAAATGCAGAGAATATCAGAAAAAACATCAGAATCTAATGCTATATTTACTTTTGTTCCGTATACATCTACAGAGCTGTGAAGCAGTAACTCATTTATTTTTATTCTTCATAGTATTCTACTGGAAATGTACACACTACAGATACTTATCCACTTTACTGCTGATAGACACTTGATGATTCCAGTCTGAGGGGACAAGAGTAATGCTGCTATGTATACTTCTGTATGTCATCTGGTGTACACTTGAACACTTTTCTGTTGATGGATCATAGATACGAGTATGTTGAGCTTTACTACATAAAACCCCAAAATTGTGTATGCTCCATATATTCACCAACCACTGGTTTATCAGTCCTTTTCATTTTAATATTCTGGTGAGTATCCAAAGGCAGCACACTTTGGTTATAATTTGTACCTCCTTGATGACTAATGAGGTTCAATATCTTTTCACGTTACTGGCCATGTGGATACACTCTCTTGTGTGAAGTGTAGTTCAAGTTACTAGTTTATTTTTCTATTGGCTTGCATTTAAAACTAAGGACAGAGTGTGTGTGTGAGAGAGAGATACATATTCTGTTATTAATGATTTCTTTTGATGAAGAGTTATTAACTATAACAGCCTATCTTATCAATTTTTATGTTTAAGGTTAAGAAGATTTCCTTGTATGTACTATTCTACAAATCTTTCCCCATTCAAAGATCATAAAGACAGCCAGAAGCTGTAGTACATGTCTCCAATCCTAGCAATTCAGGAGGGTCAGGCAGGAGGATCATTAAGTTCAAGGCCAGCTACTTAGTGAGACCCTGTCTCAATATTTAAGGGGGGGAGTGCTAGGGATATAGCTCACTGGAAAAGCACCCTTGGGTTCAATCCCCAGTACTATATTTTTTTTTTTTTAAAAAAAGGTCATGGAGCAATTTTCCATAACTAAATCACTGTAAAATGTCTGTGTAAATAATACAGTACCATGTATAAAGTTAATATGCTTAAAACATCATTTCTTGACCACCAGAAAATTAATCTTAGTTATGATTATTAGTTGCTTTGTATGTAGTAACACATACAGTATGTATAATATGTACCATAAACATTGGGCAAAATGACAGACAGTAAATATGACATAGTAACGTCTCTCTGTGTCAGCAAGATCCAAGATGCATATATACTCCCCTTTTTTGACACTTGTCCATGTACTCTTCATATGCTACTCATTGTATTTGGAATGTAACAAAAACTTTTCCCATACAGTTTGAAAAGAATGAACACAAAAGGTTATACTGAGAGATTAGCACATTCTCTAAAGTTTGGGTATTTAAAAACAAAGAGATGTTTTAAGGAGAAAACATTAGCAAGGGTGACCTTCTGCAGAATATACCTGTATACTGCCTTTAATCAAATACTAGTTGACTTTTGTTGCTCTTGTTACTTATAGGAAAACACATTCCTAACTGATATACTATCTGAGAAGAAATACTGAATAACATGAAAATGGTTGATAAGACTTCATATTTTAGGTTCAAAAATAAGCAAATTAATCCATGGTGATACAGATGAGAAGGTTGTTTACTTTTTAGAAAGGTTAATGACTGAAAGTGGGCCTCAGTTCCATTAGCATCATTACCAGCTTCTGGGGTACTAGTAATGTTCTGTGTTATTAATCTGGAAGATGTTGAAATGGATGTGTTTATGTTTTCAAGTTGTAAATTTAAAAATCATACTTTTAGCTGGGTACATGCCTGTAATTCCAGCAACACAAGAGGTTGAAACAGGAGGATTCCAAGTATAAAGCCAGCCTTGGCAACTTAGTGAGACCCTATCTCAAAATAAAATAAAATAAAATAAAAGGGCTGGGCGGTGAGGGGGTGCTGGGATTGTGGTTCAGTGGTAGAGCGTTTGCCTAACATGTGTGAAGCACTAGATTTGATTCTCAATACATATCTATCTATCTATATTTTTTTTAAAGAAAGAGCTGGGTGGCTAGGGTTGTAGCTCAGTGGTTGAACACTTGTCTAGCACAAGAGAGGCACTAGGTTTCAGCCTCAGCACTGCATAAAAATAATAAATGAATAAAATAAAGGTATTTTGTCTATCTACAACTAAAAAAAAATTTTAAAGGGGGGGCTGGGGATGTGGCTCAGTGGTAGAGCACCTCTGGGTTCAACTGCCAACAACACACAAACACACACACCCCATGTACTTTTTTGTGCTACATTTTAACTTCAATAGAAATTTGATTAGGAAAACTCTACATTTTGTGAACATAAATGAACAGCCACAGATTACATTGATATCCTGATAAAATGCAGTGGATTCAAATACATTAAGGTTTCAAATACATTCTACACACACACACACACACTCACGTCCATCTTGAAATCTATATTAATTTGCAAAGATTTCTAAGAAATAATGTAAATAAAAAGGTTAATTTGATGAAATAGATAATCACTTACAATGAAAAATTATTTCCAACACTGTACTTTCCATGACAACTCAACTTATACTTAACATAGAAAAAGGCCATTATCACTTCAACACAGTGAGGAAATGTGCTATGTGTTCACGAATTATAAACGAAACGCTCAGCTTTCCAAAAATGAAATGAACTTATGTATGAAATGAAATGCAGTGGATTTAATAGAAAAAAGGAGAAGGCCATAGAAAATGTTCAGCTATTGCTCTGAGGAATGGAACCTGGGGATGGGCAATGAATATCATGTGTTAGAAATCAGTTTGTGAGTAGAGGAAAGAATAGAAAGAATGTCTAGAAGAACTTTAAATCAGAACCACAGAAACACTGAAGAAACAAATACATCTGGTCATAAAAAGTGAATTCATTTACCTTAATAGAGAGTTATCAACAGTATTAATTGTACTTATAATGGTAGAAAAATTCTATCATTAATGACTGGGCATTTCATAAGAGACTTACTTCATTTATATCAATAATTATTAGACCAATACTTACCAATTCCTTTCTAAGTTGAACAAAAAACTGTTTGCACTTAAAAGAAATCTTCACAATCTTCAACCTGTACAAAAGAGAACAAACTAGAGCATTTAAAATATTGAATAAAGAGAAAAAATATTAACAAATTAAGAAAGTATCTATAAAACAGCCGGGCACGGTGGCACAGGCCTGTAATCCCAGTGGTTTGGGAGGCTGAGACAGGAGGATCTCAGTTTCAAAGCCAGCCTCAGCAATAGTCAAGTGCTAAGCAACTCAGTGAGACCCTGTCTCTAAATAAAATACAAAATAGGTCTAGGAGGTGGCTCAGTGGTCAATTGCCCCTGAGTTCAACCCCTGGTATCCACCCATCCCCAAAAGAAAGTATCTATAAAATGATCTTTTAAATTTATATTTTCTAATATCTAAACATCTTATCATATATTCTATACATACACACAGAATATAAAAAAATCTGAAGTTTTTGGTGCTTCATGAAAAACTAGTTAAAATCTATGGGTTCAACTACAGAAAATTTTATCAAAATATCTAATTGCAAAATATCCATTTCCCAATTTTATATGTACAGAAATACTTAAGTGTCACAAATTAAAATTTCAAAAAATAGGACTGTGAATGTGGCTCAGTGGTGGAGTGCTTGCCAACTAGCATGGAGGAAGCCCTGAGTTAGATCCCCAGCACTCAACAGTGAACGATGACAACAACAACAACAACAAAAGAAAAAAACCTCAAGAAGTATCAATAAAATAGGTGTAGTTTACTCCTTAAAATTACAAGCAATACTGATAAAATGTAAAATTTCAGCTTTGTGCAATGACCCTAGAACCATTTTTTTATTTGACATTAAAAAGCTTAATTAAACTAGTACAGTGGCACTTGCTGATAATCCCAGCTACTCAGGAGACTAAGGCAGGAAATCTCAAGTTGGAGCTAGCCTGGGTAACTTAGCAAGACCCCATCTCAAAATAAAATTTTAAAAAGGGGCTGAGAATGTAGCTCGCTGGTAAAGTACTTGCCTAGCATTTTCAAAGCTCTAGGTTCAATCCCCAGTACCACCCCCCACTACAAGGCATAAATATTTTTTTTATTTCACCTTTCTATGTTACTTTTCTTCTCATATGAAATCCACAATGGTATGCATCCTCAAAGTTCCATTAGTGAAATCAATATGAGCAAAACTGATGTGTCTCTTTATTATAACCATATGTAATACGTTAAGACTCAAGATACTTTTTGACCTTAAGACCTGGTCATAAGGCCAAAGGCATTAAATTTATTTAGTGAAAACTTCTGTGGGATCCTGCTCCAATCTTCTAATACATTTTTTTCATGTTGATTCTAAATTTTGATCTTCATAACTCATGGCCCTATCCATCCAAGAAGCTCTTGGCATTCCCAGATAGATTTCTCACACCTCAAATCACTTGGGGAGGCAAATGAATGAGTCAGCTTCGAGCATGACTAGTTTAGAATAGGAAAGAAAATATATGCTTAGTGGTATTTTTGTTTATTTGTTTGGTATTAAGGAATGCACCCAGGGGCACTTTACCACTGAGTTACATCCTCATCCCTTTTTATTCTTTAATTTCAGACTGGGTCTCAGTAAGGTGCTGAGGCTGGCCTCAAACTTGTGCTCCTCCTGCTCAGCCTCCCAAGTCCCTGGGATTACAGGTGTGTGCCAATGCACTTACTGGTTTATGTTTAGTTTTTAGGCTTAAAATTTTTTGTTTTTTATTTTTACATTCAGAGCTTCCCCACAACATGGGGAAATTCTTATGTCATATGACAGAGGACGTTAGTTCTAGAGAGTCAAGAAAAAAAAAAAGACTATGTAAAACAAATTGTATTTATGGAAAAAAAGAAAACCAGGTACCTCATTTTAAAAATCCTAAAAGCGGTACATATATTTTAGAAGTTATAAATGAATTTCTATTAGGAGTTGTCACAAAAGCAACAAACAAAACTCTATTCATTTCTAAATGATCAGTATAAAGGAAATCTAACCCAGTTTCAAATCATATTAATTTAAAAAACCCAGAAAAACATCAAACAAGGAATAAACAGAAATTCTTACACTGGTTACTCCTTGGCATAAAATTTATTTTATACAACTTGTATTTTCTTTTAAAGACATTCTATATGATTTTATTTCTATACATAGGCATAATAGTTTTTTATATAATTAAACAATGAATAAAAGGACTTTGAAATACCTATTTTGTCAAATAATAGTATAGCTATAATAGTTTTCTTTTGGTTTCTATATTCTTGGTTTATCTTTTTCAATGCATTTACTTTCAACCATTCTGTCTCTTTATGCTTTTGATATATCTCTAGTAGACAGTATGCAGACTGTTTTTATAAAAGTCCAGTTTGAATAATCCAGAAAAGATGAAAGAACTACAAACATTTGAAAAAATGTTCAGCATTACTAGACATTAGAGAAATGCAAATAAAAATTATAATTACTTCACATCCACCAGAATGACTGTCATATAAAAGACAGACAACAACCACCACAGGGGAGAATATGGTGAAGTTGAACATACATATGCTGCCCTTTGGAATGTGAAATAATGCAGCCATGATTGAAAACTCAGCAAAACCATTCCTTTGTGTATGCCCTAATGAAATGAAAGCACATGTGTCCATAAAACCTGTATGCATATATTCATAGCAGCATAATTCCTAATGGCCAAAAGATAGAGTGATTGATGAACTGATAAACAAAATGTGGTATATGACCACAGAATGGAATATTATTCAGCAGGAACCTCAAAAACATTATGTTAAATGAAAGAACTCAGTCACTAATGACCATATAGCATATGATCTCATTTAAAGGAATATCCAACACAGGAAACTTCTATAGAGAAAAAAGTGATTAGTGATTGCCATGTCTAGTGATGGGGAATGACTCCTAATGGTTGCAAGATTATCTCTTGGGTATAATAAAAATGATTCAAAATTAGAGTAAAATTATGTTGCACCTGTTATCTACAGACCACTGAACTATACTTTAATAGGCAAATTTAGAGTATGTAAATTGTAGCAGTGAAGTTGTTAAAAAAAACCATTTTGATAATTTCAATTTGAAAATTCCTTTACTTTGGAGAACTTCTTTTAACATTTCTCACAAGGCAGGGTTGCTAGCAACAAACTCCCTCAATTTTTGTCTGAGAAAGTTTTATTTATTTCACTTCTGAAGGTAATTACAGACTTCTAAGTTTGTGAGCTTTTTCTTGCAACACTTTTAAATATTTTATTCCATTTTCTTCCTGCTTACATGGTTTCTTATCCTTGTTCCTTGATGAAGGTGTTGACATTTGCTTCTTTTGAGATTTTTCTCTTTCTCTTTGACTTTGTAAAGTATGAATATGCTATGTGTAGCTCTAGAATCGGAGGGTATTTAATTTGTTTGATATTCTCTGAACTTCTGGGTTTGTGGCTGGGTGGCTGTCATTAACTTTAGAAAGGTATCAAACACTACTTCTTTTGTTCAAATTCTCCTTCTGGTAGTCTCATTATCTATCTTAACTGCTTTTTTTCTTTTTCTTCTTGGCTTTCCAGTTCGGGAAGTTTATACTGACATATCTTCAAGGTCAGTGACTATATTTCAGTTGTATACAATGTACCAATGAGACAACCCATGGCATTCTTCACTCCTTTTGCAGTGTTCCTAATTCCTTTGATTCTTTGACAGGGTTTCCATCTCTCTGGTCACATTACTCATCAGATTTTGCATACTGTGTAAGTTTTCCATTGAAGTCCTTACATACTAATTTATTTAACTTATTTTTTAGTTGTAGTTGGATGCAATACCTTTATTTTATTTATTTTATGTGGTGCTGAGGAGGAAACCCAGGGCCTCACACATGCTTGGCGAGCCACAACCCCAACCCCTAATTAGTTACTTTAAATTTGTGATATAATCCTAAAATTTTTGAGATACCTGAATCTGGTTCTGGTGCTTGCCTTTGCCTCTTCTGTTTTTTGCCTTTCAGCAATGCTTTGTAATTGACTGATGAATGCCTGATGTGATATACAGGGGTAAGTGGAACTAGGGCAAATATCCCTTTAGTGGAGGTTCTTATTTATCTGGCAAGAGGAAAGGCTGTTTACCGTTTGTTGTAAACAAACTGTAGACTTGAGCTTAAATTTCCTCTAGTATCTGTGTTTTTGTTATCCCTATTGTCTTAGGTTTCCCTAGGTAAACTTTAAACAGTCTGAGCTTTGCAGTTACTTCAGTTATAATACTGTTATTACAGAGGAGCCTCACTGACTGTTAAGGTACAGGCAGCGGGGAAACCATTCTTTAATCCTGATTACGTCTCAGTTCTTTAGTGGTTTCTGCCTCTTCCTTATGACCCTCCTTAGGTAGACAAGAAAGCAGGAGGAGTCTGAGTTGGATAATTGCCATCCCCCATTTTGGTAAGGTTCTGATAGAACTCATGTTGTTTAAGTGCTGGCAAAATAGTTTCTGAGGGCAGGCCTTGTTAAGGAGAACAGAAAGCTCTAAGTGGTTTTAAAATGTTTACTTTCCCCCACCCGCTGCCATAAATGGATTTTTTTCTTCCTTCTTCACCCTGAGAACCCGGAGAGGCATGAAAACTCATGAAAGTCTGGAGGTTTTCCTAAGTCTGGATCCCCCAGAAATTTTTTATTTCTTTATCTAGTCAAAACTCGGTATCTAGCTATTAGACAACGACCCTTTAAGTATTCCTAACAGTTCTGACTCTAGTAGTTTGCTAACCTTGATTATTCTCTGTATTAATTTGCCACTCCAGTTTTCAAAACAGCAGTGTCCTTGATTCTCTGAAGAATCTTAAAAGTTGTTGGTTTGGGGTTGTTATTAGCTTTTTTCTTGTTGTGAGGACAGAAGTGTGAACATCTAAGCTTTTTACCTGTCAGACTGGAAATCAGAACTCTCTCTTTTCATTGTCTTAATGATGCCTCCTGGTTGATATTCATTCTGAAGAAGTCTAATTTAAAGAATCTACATATCTCCAATTTGTTATTCAACAAATTTAAAGTATAAACTTGAGCTGGGGGGATAATCATATATAGAAAATGGACACGAGAGAGCATATTTATTATGTGGTACTCTCTTTTTACATGTAGGTCTAATTCTGAGAGAAGAGGTAAATGAAATGAGTTTAAAGCTCTGCTTCATACTTACCAGTTATTTAATTTAAGGCCCACCCAATTTCTCCTGCGTTTCTCCTTATTTGTTAAAAAAAAATTATAATAATTACCAAACTTGCAGAATTCTAAATTACAGATAAATGGATTGAAATTCATGAGTGATTTTTTTTTCTATCAGTTTTAAACTCTTCATTCATGAATATATTTGGTATCTACACCATTTAAATTTGTGGCCTAAGCATCTTATTTGAGATATTACATGAAATAAAGTTCCTGAAATGAAAGCTATTATAGTCATCATCATTATCAGTACTCATAAAGTGACTTTATGGTTTCCTAAAGTAAATTTATGCAGTACTTGCTAAAATATAAATTTAAAGGCAATGGCAATGCCATAAATACCAATTTGATAATGGTTAGGAGATGAATATAATCCATATTCACAAATGATACTTGTGAGAAGTATTTGCTTTTGTGAAAATAAGTTCAAAAATTTGATGATTATCAAAGATACTTGGAATGGCTGTGTTCAGTGGTATAAGCACTTGCCTAACATGTGCAAGGCCCTGAGTTTGATTCCCAAAAATGAAGAAAAAAATACGTATATATTGGATCTTAAATCATGGTTTCTTGTTACCAAATTGTAAATATTTCCCTAATATTATATTATGTACTGCTTTGATTAGTAAGCTCAGAAGAAATCCTCATGTTTCATAATGAGGCAGACTTAGTAGCTTTAGCACCTTTAAATCCCATCTATTTAGTGTAATTTTTAAAAATAAAATTTAAAAATCCACACTGTTTATTTTCCACGTGATACTTTAAATACTCACATCCTCATTGCTACTTTTATTTTTAACCTAACTGGTCTGTTAAAGAACTGGAAATATAAGTTCTATGTCTCAACTTTAACTCTCACTATATGTAGCTATAAAATAAAAATCAACTCCTTAGCATGTAAGACGTATAAGTCTGAGTCCTTTTTCTTCCTTAAGGAATATATTCCTAAATTCTTATTTTCTTCTCAATCAAAAGAAACGAAGGAAGGAAAAAGCAACTCAAGTATCCTTCCATTAATGAACTCGTCATCAGGCCTCAGCAAATGGTACTCCTATCTTGAATGCTCTATAGAGCATTAAATAAACTCTATTATATTTGCTGCCTCTTCCACATTTCCCTTTCAACTGAGAAAATTCCTATTCGCCCTATAAAAACCATTTCAAATATCATGGGGCTTATAAGATATTCCAGAGAGATTACATCCATTTTTGTTTCAACAATAAACTAGGATTCCAATGGATGCATTTAAATGAAATACTGTACTTAGAGCTCTTAACATGGTAGAAGACACAAAGTAAATGCTCTAATAATGCTGCAGTATGAAGTTAGAGATTCTTTAAGAAAAATTTCATTAGTAATATTTTTATGTAGCCATTTTAAAATAAACAAATTTTAGTTTTTTTCTTGAAGGTTCCAAGTAAACAGGATAAAGTATAAGTTGCACCACCTAAGAAAACTGACATTAAAAAGTTAACATACTTGGGCTGGGGATATGGCTCAAGTGGTAGCACTCTCGCCTGGCATGAGTAAGGCACTGGGTTCAATCCTCAGCACCACATAAAAATAAAATAAAGATATTGTGCCCACCTAAACTAAAAAATAAATTTTAAAAAAAAGTTAATATACCTTTACTTAACACAAATTATTATATTTGGTAATATAGTGGTAAAAACAAAAGCATTAATGAGGTTCTTACCATGGAAAGGTATTCATTCGTACCCGGTTCTTATAAATCAGAATTCCTCCTGACATCACACCAATCATAATTTCATTGTTACTTTGATCCTTCAAAAGAAATACATGACCAATCTAAAACAATAGCTTTAGTTGTTAGAAATATATTTTTTAAACAGGATTAGTTTCAATACAATGTGACATTTTCAAAGATATTATAGAATCATGCTATAATTACAAATCCAAATAGCAATTATTACACATTTACACATCATATTTCCCTAAGAAAGTCAGGTGAAAAAAAAAGATGATGCAAATGTGAAGCAGAATTATGGAAAATTGTGATCTGAATACTTTAGGGGGACATAGATGGAAGTCATATGTATACCTCTATACTGACAGAAGAGGTCCTTTGCTTGTTCCAAATTATGTTTTTACATTATTTGATTATTCTAACCAAACTGCCAAAAAGTCTTCAAATATATGTAGGTTAAAAATGAGGCTTTAGCAGGGTGCATTTCTATAATCCTTTGCAAACTCAAAGCCAGCCTCAGCAATTTAGCTAGACCCTGTCTTTTTTTTTTTTTAGTTGTCAAGGGATCTCCATTTTATTTATTGATATGTAGTGCTGAGAATCAAATCCAGCACCCTCAGGCAAGTGCTCCGCCACTGAGCCACAATCCCAGCCTGACCCTGTCTTAAAATAAAAAATACAAATGGTTGAGGATGTGGCTCAGTGGTTAAAGGGCCTGGGTTCAATCCCTGGTACAAAAAAAAAAAAAAAAAAAAAAAAAAGCTTTAGAAAAAAGATATAGGTTGGTTTTTAAACACAGAAATAGGTATTAGAAGGTAATGCAAATTAACTTTTTTGTGTATCATCTGTAAAGGGGCAATAAAATATTCCCACCTCAGAGGGCTGTTTGAAGGATTAAAGGATATTAATACATGTAATGTCCTAAGAAGGGTGTCTGGCATTTAGTAAATGCCACATGGGTGTTTCCTGTTGTTATTACCTATGTTGTGGACTGTAGAATTCCTCAAAATTACTGTCCTCACAATCTTTTTTGAAAATTCTCTAATTATCCTGTGGCTATAGTCCAAACTTGCTTTTATAAGGTCACCAGTGACTTCCACATTTTTAATTCAGTTCTCTGTCCTCATCTTACTTGACCTAAAAGCATCATTTGATGCAGTAGACCACCCCTGATTCACTTGACTCTAAAGACACACAATTGTATCTTTAACATAAAAAAGAATTTCTTTCTATCCAAATGGCTTTTCCTTCTTGATCTCCTATTCTTCCTCATCTCTAACCTCTAAACTTTGAAGTGTTCCAGCTTTGAGGATCTCTTCTGTTATCTACAGTATTTGCTCCCACAGGGCTCTTTTTTTCTTTTTTTAATATTTGTTTTAGATGTTGGTGGACCTTTATTTTATTCATTTATTTATATGCAGTGCTGAGAATTGAACCCAGTGCCTCACACATGTCAGGCAGTGCTTCACCACTGAGCTATAACTCCAGCCCCACCTCTCCCAGGTCTCTTATCCTGCAGTCTTAAATATCATCTATAAGCTAACAATCCCCAAATTTGTATCTCAAGCTCAAACTTTTCCTCTGAACTCCAGATCTATATGAACTGTCTATCCTTCTTCATTTGGACTTGTAAAAGTCTTCTCAAATTTAACATGTCCCAAAACTAATTCTGAAACCTGCTCTGCCTGGTTTTTCACTTACTGATTACTTTTTACTATCCCACTGCTACAACCACCATTTTTTCTCACCTGGATCACCATAACCATCTCGACGTTTTTTTTTTTTTTTTTCTCTATACTGAAGATTCAACCCATGGACACTTTACCACTGAGTAATATCCCTAGCAGCCATTTTTGTTTTTTATTTTGAGACAGGGTCTCACTAAGTTGGTTAGAGCCTCACTAAATTGCTGAGGCTCGCCTTGAACTTGTGATCCTCTTATCTCAGCCTCCTGAGCTCCTGGGATTATAGGTATGTGCCACTGTGCCTGGTAAATCTAACAGTCTGTTTATTGGTCCCTTCCTTTAGTGTCTTACAATATATTCTCAGAATGGCCATGAATTTCTTTTAAAAATGTAAAATCATAGCCTATCTTTAAAAATATCCCAAAACCCTATAAGGAACTTTCTTAAAATTAAAGGCCAAAGTCTTTAAGATGTTTTTAAAGTCCTGGTCTGCTTTGACCTCATTTCCTAATATTCTCCTGCCTTCCTCACACAACCCCAAGACAAATTCGTTTTTTTGCTGTCACCTGAACTGCTACCCACACTATTTCATCACCTTCGATTGCTGTTTCCTTTGCTAATAATTATCTCCCCCTAAACCCTAGACATATGTATAGCTTCCTCAGGTCTGTTTACCTTCTCAGTGAGGCTTAAATGGATACTTTATATTTGGTTGACTAAATTCCTTCCTTAGTTTAATTTTTCTTTGTAGCACCTGTTGGTTATCTGACCTATTATCTAATTACCTTTTTAAAAAACTGAAATATATACATTATAAAATGCACAAATCTTAAATGTCCAACTTGAAATTTCACACTTATATACATTAATATTTAACCACCACTAATATATATCACATTTTTAAAAACTCAGTAGGTTCCCTCATGAGTGTCCTAGTTAATAATACTACTCCAGAGATGACTGTTATTCTGACTTCTATCAATATTAACAGGTGTTTTGCCTATCACTGAACTTTACTTTCATGGAATCAGACTATTCACTCTGATATAATTAGTTGTTGATAGTCTTGTTTTGCCAACCAGAATGAAGCATTTGAGGGTTGGAATTTATCTGCTTTTCTCACTGCTGTATCCATAATGGCTGTACATGGGACTTGGAGCACAGTAGGCACTCAAAACATATTCACCAAAGAATAAAAAATTAAAAATATCATCATAAGGGCTGGGGTTGTGGCTCAATGGTAGAGGGCTTGCCGAGCACGTGTGAGGCACTAGGTTTGATTCTCAGCACTGCATATAAATAAATAAAAATAAAGGTCCATCATAAATCATAAATCTTTTCTTGAAGCTTTGAAGAGCAAAGATTCCTTTTTAGTAGAATTATCTTTATCACTATTACAAATACTTATGGAAATAAGATTCATAATTAAGCCTAAAACTTGGTTAGAATTTTTTAGGGTTGATTGAAAGCCTCCTGTACCTAACTAAAAACATAATTATGCTTACCTGTAGATAATTTGGAAACAGTAATTTTTTAATATAATCCCTCTTTTTTTTTTTTTCTTAATATGTGAACATTCTACAAGAGAGATTGAGGCCGGATACAATGGCACACACCTGTAATCCCAGTGACATGGGAGACTGAAGCAAGAGGATTGCAAGGACAATCTCAGCAATTTAGTGAGACCCAGCAAAATAAAAAATTAAAAAAGGGCTGGGGATGTAGCTCAGTGGTAAAGAGCTCCTGGGTTTAATCCCAAATACAAAATAAGAGAGAAAGGGAATGAGTTTGATGATTCATGATTTAGATATTATCACAGCTCTCTTTCATTCTTTTATTCTATTTTCTTAGTGTAATAGTTATTGACTGATTTTCAAGAAAAGTTGATAGGTGTTGAATGACTGATCCACTATTCATCTAAAAAGTAAGATATTTCAATCAGGCCAGCAGTTTCTACTGAGATAATGCCTTTTCCCTTTGAAGAGATAAAAAATTCTTTATAAAAAATTAAACTTAGTTCCTATGATATTCCTTGCTATTAATTTTATTTTTTCAAATATGTCATGTTCTGCGTGGGCTCTCTCTTATTCAGAGAGGAAGTCCATGGAACAGGGTACAGGAGAGTGTGGCTGCGGAGTTGCTAATCAAGACCTCCAGAGACCAAGCAGGAAGCAGGTCTGATTTTATTGTGCAGTTACCATGTATATATACTCAGGCAGTAGCTAAGCAGATTATAGGCAGCCACCAATGCAAAGTCTGCTAACTGCCCTTGAAGCGATCAATTGAAGAGTGGGCCATGGAGAAGTGCTGGACTGCAACATGGGGCCTCACACCCAGGGCTGTGCCTACAGGGTAAGCTGTTTGGCACTCACATGCCTAGCACAGAGGAGTGCCCTGCCACTCAGACACCCTTAACATATGCCATGTATGCAGTACTCCATACACTTGTCCCCACAATGTTCTGTCTTGATTTGAGGTTTTTATTTATGACTCTACAGTGAAAATCATTATCTTGGAAAAATCTTATTCGTTCTTTTGACTTAAGTGAACATACTATTTTTAAGAAGCATTCCCTACCCTCTCTTCCTGGGGCGGGGGGGGGGGGGGGGTTTAGATGTTCTTGCCGTATGATCCCACAGCACTTGGTACTCTCTCCTTCATATTCTCATGTATTTGCTAATATGTGTCTGTTTCTTTCTCCCACTATTGTGTGAGTTCCATGAGGGCAGGAATAACTGATATAATCCTAGTGCTAAGATTGTACCAGGCACAGAGCAGATCCACTGCTATAAATGCACTAAGATTTATATGAATCTTGGGAATTCGATATGAATAACTTGGTTCCACTTGAAGGCAGAAAAAAAAATAATTTACCTTGCTTGCCAAAATAAAATATTTTGCTTTTGATATTCAATTAAAGCTTAGATTTCCTCTTTTATGCTCCTCCCTCATCTACCTTATGTTCTTTTTTTGGGGGGGTGAGGGGGGAAGTTACCAGGGATTGAACTCAGGCACTTGACCACTGAGCCACATCCCCAGCCCTATTTTGTATTTTATTTAGAGACAGGGTCTCAATGGGTTGCATAGTGCCTCGCTTTTGCTGAGGTTGGCTTTAAACTCAGGATCTTCCTGCCTCAGACTCTTGAGCTTCTGGGATTACAAGTGTGCGCCACCATATAGGCTATTCTTTTGTTTCTGATGCCACAAAAATTCTCTTCATGTTCACTGAACATCTGCACATTGACTTCTTAAGGTCTCAGTATTCACACACACACAAAAAAACCCTTTCCTGTCCGTCTTTTTTTTTCTTTTTTGTAGGGAGGGGATGTGGGGAGTTGTGCAAAATACACGTCTAAATAACTTTTGACAATTTCAAATTTAAACTTCTTTAATATTGTCCTCCATATTGAGGGCTTTCAGAGAAGCAGTTTTATAATCTAATAATTTAAACAAAGAAAAACTACCTTAGTCAAATAAATAAATAATAACATGGTAAATTATATATGAAATTTATTTAGTCTTATAATACAAGTGAAAAGATGAAAGTTTACCACTCTTCTTATTTCATTGTCAGTAATCTCAGCAGACATAAAACTATATTTAGAAAACTGCGAAGGAGCTGGGAATGGTGATGTGTGTCTGTAATCCAGCTACTGGGAGGCTGAGGCAGGAGGGATTGCCAGTTGGAAGCCAGTCTGGGCAACTTAGGGAGACCCTGTCTCAAAAATTAAAAGAAAGAAAGAAAGATAGATAGATAGATAGATAGATAGATAGATAGAAAGAAAGAAAGAAAGAATGAAACAAAAAGGGCTGGAGTGGTAGAACAACTGCTTAACACATGGAAATCCCCAGGTTTAACCCCAACTATAACCCTCACCAAAAAAAAACCACTCCAAAACAAAAAACAAACAAAAACAACACAAAAGAGCAAAATGTTTTTGGTGGTCTTTTTTTTTGGGGGGGGGGGGGTGTACTAGGGATTGAACCCAGGGGTGCTATAATGCTTGAGCTATATCCCCAGCACACACTCATTTTTTGAGACAGGATATCACTAAGTTGCCCAGGCTAGCCTCAAATTTATGGTTCTCCTGCTCAGCCTCCCAAGTAGTTGGGATTACAGGTGTACAACACCACATTAGTTGGTCTTCTTCTTCTTCTTTTTTTTTTTTGTTTTTGTTTTTGCTTTATTATACTGGGTATTGAACCCAGGGGTGCTTAACCACTGAGCCACATCCCCAGCCCTTTTTATTTTCTATTTTGAAGCAGAGTCTCGCTAAATTGCTTAGGACCTCTCTTAATTGCTGAGGCTGGCTTTGAACTTGTGATCTTCCTGTCTTAGCCTCCTGAGTTGCTGAGATTACAGACAAGCCAGCTGGTTGTCTTATTTTTAAGCATAGCTCATATCTGAAGTTCTACAGCTGTAAATTTATTGTAATATAAAACAAAATTTAGTTGCACAAATATTGACTATTACATTTTAGAAAACCGTGTTCAACAGTTGTAAACCCCAAATAAGGAAAGAGAGAGAGAAGAGCATTTTAAAGAGCAAAAAGCTCCAGAAAGACTTAACATTTTAAATAGAAATCTAAAAAACAGATTTCTAAGTCATAACACTCAGAATTACAAGATACATTCCTCAGAAGAAAGCAAGTCTTCTGACCACCAAGGAAGAAACTGACATGAGCTTTATGAAATGTTAAGAAATAAAGCTCCTCTCCTAGAACACGGTCAGATGGCTTAATCATTATGAGGAGCAAAACTTTGAGTACTTGAAACAACTATGCAACTGTGTATGTGTGGGTACTAACAGAATATGCTCAAAATAATTACCTAAGGAAAATAATTCCTTAACTCCTTTTCAGATTGATATCCTTTTTAGGCTCAACAGTCTGTCCTGAGAGAATATAAACCCTATTTCTAAATCAACCAATGATTATTTATAATTCCACTGAGAACAGCTATACTCCAGGTACTTCTAAAGGAATATATAACCTCTTGACAAAAAAAAAAAAAAAAAAAAAAAAAAAAAAAAAAAAAAAAAAAAAAAACACAAGAAGGAATAGAGCCACAAATGAAGAATAGCTACACAGAATTATGTTATGACAAGAAGTTAACAGTCTTTCATAGGATGAACAGTTTGATGCAAGGAAAAAAGAGGTTATATAGTGTTGTACAGGAAAAGCCAGTGATTTGTAAATTCTAAGTTAATAAAGGGACTGGGGCAGATAAAAACAAAACATGTTACTATGCTCCATTTTGTGCTTTATAAATAAAAATTTACGATACTAGAAATAATGAAAATCAAGCTCAGCAATACAAGTCTCAGTGTTGTGAAAACATTTTTATGATGATTATCAAAGAGTAAAAAGACTACTTTTCTTATAACTTAACCTTTACTTTATAGACTACATATTCTAAGTCTATCTCCTATAGTCTACAAAAACTATCTTTATAAAAAACGTTCTGGAAGAAGAACCATGAAAAGTGCACTTTAACAGTCTTAATGTTATTGCAAAAAATATTTATATTCAGAAGAAATTTTCAGTTCAACTATGTCAACAGCAATTGTAAGTTATTTCATCTGTTACCTAAGCCTTTCAAGGCATTACAGTATTTTTGATACTGAGTAATGAAGCTTAATTCAACAACATTGAAATTTATTTTCTTCACTTACCCTTGCATAGTGGAATTCAACTCCATAGAGTTCTAAGGTACGTGCTGTGTTCAGGTAATTAAATTCTGCTTCTGCAGGAGATAAGCCCCTGTAAAGACATCATCAGGTTATCCATTGCAAATATACCCAAATTAGTAAAAGGTTATTTATCTGGAAAAATGTACAGTCTAATTAAATCTTGTAAAACCACCATCTATGACTCTTCCTCTTAGTTCTGAATAGTAACATTTAATACATTTGGAGAGCACACTTTCAGTAACTCAAACTATTGTCTTCCAGAATGTTTTTGTTTTCTCCAGAAATACATTAATACAGTAAGTTTTAAAAATTTATGAAAACTCTTAAGAAACATGAGTGAATCCATTTTTTTTCTTTTTGTACTGGAGATTGAACCCAGGGGTGCTTTACACTGAGCTATGATGTACCAGCCCTTTTTATTTTGAGATAGGATCTTGCTAAACTTAAGCTTAGGCCCTCGCTAAATTGCTGGGGCTTTGAACCTGTGATCCTCCTGTCTCAGCCTCCTGGTTGCTGAGCTTACAGGCATGTGCCACTACACCCAGAGTAGATCCTTTTCTAAAGACTTGACATCTACAGCAGGTTTGAAAACCACTGCTCTAGATGTAAAATCTTTTTTTTTTTAATATAAATTTACTCCTATAGTTTTATGGCTCTAACAAAGCCATTTTTATATATAAATTAGAAGCATTATTTCCTCTGGAAAATTGGTTCACATACCACAGCTGCATTTACATCATATGGGGTGCTTCTGAAATATGCAGATTCTCAGGGCAATGCTTTCTTGAGTGTCATGCACAGACAGATATTGTTTCACACCAAGTACAGAAATGAGTGTCAAAGACTTTTATAGATATTTGGCAATCATTTTATGTTAGTTGAATCTAATAGTGAAAAAATAGGACCCTTTTTTTTTTTGGATAGTGCTGGGGATTGAACCCAGGGCCTCCTGTACACTGGGCAAGTGTTCTACACAGAGATACATCCACAGCTCCTAGGATTTAATTTTTTAATGTCTTTGCTTTATTTCTCCATTTTATTTTCTTGTAATTCATTTTTATTACACATTTCAAAATATTATAAATAACATAATAATGACAGACTGGGGGAAGACTGGTCTTTCATCACAGATGGTTTTGGAAATAGAGTTCAACAGAAAGGATAAAGTCAAACTGTAACATTTAATAAGTATCCCAAGTGATTCTTTTTTTAATTAACTTTTTTGTTTTAATTATACATGACAGTAGAATGCATTTATTCACTTTGATATACATAGATGTGATATAATTTCTAATTTTTCTGAGTGTACATGTTGTAGATGTACATGTAGTATACATCATATTGGTCATGCAGTCACATATATACATAAAGTAATAATGTCTGTTTCATTCTACTATCTTTCCTATCCCTACCTCCCCTCCGCTTCCCTCCTTTTACTTCCCTCTACCTAATCTACCGTAACATTATTCTGAACTCTAGTCCCCCCCACTCCCACCTTATTGTGAATTAGCATCTATATATTAGAGAAAACATTCGGCCTTTGGTTTTGCGGGATTGGCTTATTTCGCTTAGCATGATATTCTCCAACTCCATTAATTTACTGGCATATGCTTTAAAGAAGAGTAAAATTATGGCATTTGCCATATCCATTGAGTATATATACCACATTTTATTTATCCATTCATCTATTGAAGGACATCTAGCTTGGTTCCATAGTTTAGCTATTGTGAATGAATGAGCTACTATAAACATTGACGTGGCTGCATTACTGTAGTATACTGATTTTAAGTCCTTTGAGTATAAACCGAGGAGTGGGATAGCTGGGTCAAATGGTGGTTCCATTCCCAATTTTCTGAGGTGTCTACATACTGCTTTCCACAGTGGTTGTACCAATTTGCAGTCCCAACCAGCAATATATGAGTTTACCTTTTTTACCAATCCTCACCAACTTTTATTGTTGCCTGTATTCTTGATGACTGCCATTTTGACAGGAGTGACATGAAATCTGAGAGTAGTTTTGATCTGCATTTCTCTAATTGCTAGAGATGCTGAACACTTTTTCATATATTTGTTGATCGACTGTATTTCTTCTTTGGTGAAGTGTCTGTTCAGTTCCTTACTTAGTCCATTTATTGTTTGGGTTATTTTGTGTGTGTGTGTGTGTGTGTTAAGATTTTTTCCAAATAAATTTTATGATTGCTTTTTCTATTTCTATGAAGAATGTCATGGGGATTTTAACAGGAATTACATTAAATCTGCATAACACGTTTGGTAGTATGGCCATTTTGACAATATTAATTCTGCCTATCCAGGAGCATGGGAGATCTTTCCATCTTCTAAAGTTTTCTTTAATTTCTTTCTTTAGTGTTCTGCTGTTTTCATTGTAAAGGTCTTTTACCTTTTTTGTTAGATTGATTGGTTTCCAGGTATTTTATCTTTTTTTTTTTTTTTTTTTTTTTGAGGCTATTATAAATGGGGCAGTTTTTCTAATTTCTCTTTCAGTGGATTCAATGCTGATGTATAGGAATGTGTTTGATTTATGGGTGTTGACTTTATATCCTGGCTACTTTGCTAAATTCATTTATTAGTTCTAAAAGTTTTCTGGTAATTTTTTTTTAAATCTTCTAGATATAGAATCATGTCATTAGCAAATAGTGATAGTTTGAGTTCTTCTTTACCAATTTGTATCCCTTTAATTTCTTTCTTTTGTCTAATTGCTCTGGCTCGAATTTCAAGGATGATGTTGAATAGAAATGGTGAAAGAGGACATCCTTGTCTTGTTCCAGTTTTTAGAGGGGATGCTTTCAATTTTTCATTTCGAATGATGCTGGCCTTGGGCTTCACATATATAGCTTTTACCATGTTGAGGTATGTTCCAACCATGCCTAATTTTTCTAGTGTTTTGAACATGAAGGTGTGATATATTTTGTCAAATGCTTTTTTCTGCATCTATTGAGATGATCATGATTCTTTTTTAAAGCCTATTAATATGATGAATTATGTTTATTTATATACGTATGTTGCACCATCCCTGCATCCCTGGGATGAATCCCACTTGATTGTGGTGCACTATCTTTTTAATACGTTTTCCAAGTGATTCTTGTGAATATAAATTTGAGAACCCTGCTCTAGATATGAAGTCTTTTAAAATAGATAGGTGTGATGGCACATGATGGTAATCTCAGCTACTTGGGAGACTAAGGCAGGAGGACCTTCATTCAGTTCGAGGCTAACCTGGGGACTTACTGAAACCCTGTCTCAAAATGAAAAACAAAAACAAAAAAGTGCTGAGGGTGTAGTTCAGTGGTAGAGCACTCTTGGGTTCAATTCCAAGTACCTCAAAAACAAAACAAAACAAAACACCCAATTTCATACACAGTTCTAACAACCTTAGTTATCTGATGCTATGAAACTACAGTACAGCAAAAGTGATAAACTACTAAAGAAAAGGTATCAACCTTTTGTTCACTAATGATACTAGAAAAGGGAGCCAACAACCTGCCAATGTATGATCATAACAAATGTGATTCTTCAAAAAGAAGGCAAAACTGGGCACTGTACCACAGTGCCTGCAATCCCAGCAGCTCAAGAGGCTAAGGCAGGAGGATTAAAAGTTCAATGCCAGCCTAAGCAACTGAGTGAGGCCCTCTACATAAAAAATAAAAAAGCCCAGGGATGTGGCTCAGTGGTCAAGTGCCCCTGGGTTCGATGCCCAGTACCAACAAAAAAGGGTAGATGGCAGGTTATACTTCCCTTTTCTGAAACATTTCATTAAGTTAAATACAGAGCTTATCTCCCCTCCACCCATCCCCATTAAACTGGATAATTCTTTTTATCCTTGTCTGCAGATCTGATGATCAATTCTTTCAACCAAATAGAAATATGTAATCACTGTGTCATTAAATAAACCTTTTCCTTATAGAAAATATTTTTCATTATTGGTAAATTTAAAAAATCTAGTCTTTAACTCTTTGGTTCAGATATGCTATATGTTAAAACTTTCAATATACAGCAATTTAGCGCAAGTCAGCCCCTTCACTACTTTACACTACTCTATTACAATTCTCAGTCATTAGTCCCTTTAGATTCCAGGTGAGCAAACCTTTTAGTGGAAAGGACTGGATAGTAAGTATTTTAGGCTTTCAGCTGGTCTCTACAACAACAACTTAACTGTGCTATTGTATGAAAGCAGTCATAGTCAATATATAACAAATTGGAGTATCTGTCTCAAAAGGTATTTATTATGGTCATTGGATTTTGTAAAATTTCAATATGTACACATACATAAAAACTACAAATTTGCATGTGTATGTACATATATTTCTCCATTTATACAAACACCCATTTTTTAGATCATGGGCCATACAAAAATAGGCAACAGCCAATCTGCCAACATGTTTTAGATACATTTTCAGATACATAGGTTATTACCAAATGAAAGTAAGTTTTCTTAGTAAGAACTAATATTTCTTCTATACCTACAATGTGCTAGGCACCATTCTGAGAACTTCTCCACTGAGGACTAAAAGTAACTCCAGAGATAGATACTTTTATCATCCCCAATTTATATACAAGAAAATGGAGAAACAGAGGTTTAGAGCAATTTGGCCAAGGTTATAAGACAGTAACCTTACCATAAATTCAAATCAGACAATCTGGTTCTCTAGCTCAGAGTCTTAGCCAAGTTGCAACATTGCCTTAGTTCCTCCAGGATTCAGTATTTTGAATCATATGTTAAAGCAAAATTGAACTATGAACCAATCAACAATATTACTGCCTATTCAAAACAAAAAAAAAGTCATAGAAAATCAAACTTATAAAAAAAAATCAAAGATGAATATGGTTGTAACTGAAAAAATGCCACTATTTTTAAACGAATATTTTCATAAAATTAGTGTTACAAAGGGTGCTTTTGGCTCATTACCAAACAGAATCAATTCCTTTCATATAGCTAAAAACTAAGAAAGGCTTACCAAGTAGACTGAACTGCAAGTTATGAATATATATTATTAATATTCCAAAATTTATTTGTAAAGAATAATTTTGTATAATAACACATAAATTTCTGTTAATAAATAGCTTTATGGTTGTTAACAGAAATAAAAAGAAGTCTCACATATTCTATGAAATAAGCAAAACACATTTTTAGTAGAGATCACATACATTTCTTTATAACAATCTTATCTTTATATAATAGTAATTGTTCTGTGTTAAGTAAACAATAAAATTAGAAATAATTTACAATATTCCTCTAAAAAGGACACCAATAAGTTTACCAAATAAGCAGAAAATTAAACAAATCCTTACATATGTTGGTGATGTAATTTTGCAATTTCTTTTTCAAAATCTTGAGGTTGATTAGGAATGAAAGAATAATCTGAGAGGTAGCCTGGCAAGTTTTCTGACTGACTGTAGTCTCCAAGTTCAGCTAATAATGTAAAGAAAAAATTTCACATTAAAAAACAAAACTTCCAATTATTATAGTTAAAGCAGCAATACTATCAATTCCATTGTATTTCTGGAAGTAAAATATTTGGATTTTTTAATGTAACCAATTAAGAAGAATGTTAAATGAATTACTACAGTTCACTTAAGTAGTCTGCAATAATTCACAACATTCTTCTAGGTCTCAATTTCAGAGAAAAAAAAAATTTCAAACATCAAAGCACTGTTAACTATTTGAACATTCAATTTCCTCTACAATTTCTATTTACTGCACTATAACATGTCTAAAGAACTCCTGTATTAAAATAAATATACTATCAGGCCACAAATCATATGTTATTTGATCTTAAAGTAGGATGATACTTACACTGAATGGCAAATGAAGCTAAAAGGGCAGCAGTATTATAAGGACAGGGTAATCTGATAAAGCAAAACAGAAAATACATAACCCAAGATTAAACACAGTAACTTCAAAAGTGCTATAATTTATGTTATACTATTCATAGCTGAAGTTTTCATGTGATTTAATTTTAACTATTAAGAAATAAACTTATATGATGAAAAACATTCATATTAAATGTAAACATTTTTGATAATTTTTAATAATTGATTACTTCAAGAATGCAGAATTAAAAGTAATTTTAAAGTCTATTTAAAAAAATTTTAAATAGCTCACCTTCCAGTAAGAATGTCTTGTTTGATTTGCAAAAAATATTGGTACCTTAAAAAAAAAATAAGCATTTACTGGAATTACACTTTTAGTTTTGAGAAACCGTACACTTATGTTAACAAATGAAAATATTTAGTACTTTTATAATTTATATATTAGCACCTATAATGTTAGCAAGTGCATACATTAGCACATATTTTAAAAAATAATTTTCATAAATCCATGAATATAAATCTTTAAAATTCTTTGATAAATTAAATTTTATACTTTGAATGTCTTGTTTCTATTACAAAACTTCTCAAGATTTCTAAAAGTTATGTGACCAAAGGAGAAGATTAAAGGAAAATATTCTCAAGGATTGATGTATGCAGAAAGTAAACTGAGAAGCACAGAAAAGCTGAGCACGAGACATAAAGGAGAGCTGACAGCAAATGCACTAGAAACCAGTTGAAGAAAATCTTTCTTTCTGCTGAGAAATCCAGCTGCAAGGACAGACCTTTGTGTTGATAATTTTATCATTAGGCTTACTGCAGAAAAGCAACTGTCCACTTTCATTAGACTTAAAAAAAAATCTCTGATCAGAAAAACAACCTAAGTTCCTTTTTCTATTATTGATCTACTCTTATTGGAACTGTCAAGTAACCAATTTCTTGAAAACAAATGAGAACATAAGCATCCTATTACAAGACTGCTGAGGCTGCTTGGAAGATGGCCTTGTCCTTCTTCTATCCCTGCTAGTGCTTAGGCCATTCACTCATTATCAGTACTTGGACAAAGTCATCTGTGCTGTATGATGTTGGCAAAAGAACAAATGTTATGGTTTAAAATGTTTTAACAGGAAATTTTAAGATTTTATTTCACCTAACTAAAAAAATAAGAATACATGCCATGAATCAAAACTCATTAAATAATAATTCTAGTGTGGCTTGTCATTAACTAGCTCCATGACAATATTCAAATTACTGAAGAATAATTAAAGTTTTTAAAGAATCAGATATTCATTACCAAAAGAAAAAAATACTGAAACAAATATCCTGTTTTCATATATTAATTTAGTACATAAATTCCCTGTGCAGTTTAATACACAATATTACAACTATTACTGATAATCCAAGACTGTGTATTTCTATCAAAGTTATTTGGTTTCATAATTAAACATTAAAGATGGGCTGGTGATAGAACTCAGTGGTAAAGCACAAAGCATAATGAAGCCCTGGCCCTGGGTCAATCACTCTCCAGCACCACAAAAAGAAAGAAAGAAAAAAGGGGGGGGGGGGCGCGGTTCCCAGCAGGGAAAGAATCTTAAGTTAGGATTTAGGGGTCATGTATTATCTTTGATATAATATTGCAAATCCTATACAAGTATGGCCTATCCTTACTGAATTTTACTTACACACTTGTTTAAGCAAGTAGGACTATTAGAGTAGAAGCTAGAATTTAAGTACCAGGCTAAATTAGCCTGTGATCTTGGGCAAATTACTTAAAATGTGGCTAAGCCTTCGTTTTTACACTTGTAAAAAAGAAGTAATATAATTTGCCTAATTTCTGTATCTTGGGAATTGGAAAAACCCAATTCTAATGATGCCAGCACTTGTCAATACTGAATGACATTTAATGGAAGCCCTTTGACTACATTCTTTTTTTTCTACTTATTCAAAACAGTAACTCAATGAGTAAGGGGATATAGCAGATTTGCTGTTTTGTGGGTCTTAACTAAATCCTGAAAACTTGGTAGCTATGCACAGAGTGTCCTTGTATCAGGATCATCGGATTAAGTCTACACAAGTACTAAAATTTTAAAAGTACTTCTTACCCTGGCTATATGTATAAGAATCTGCTGGTGGGGGTGGAGGGTGCTTGCCTATGCTAAGGTCCCATCTGAGATCTATTAAATCAGACTATGAAGAGAAGTGGCTAATTAGAATGGTTTAAAACGCTCCTAACTGATGGTAATTTGTAATCAGGATAATGAATCACTAATTACACTATGATAATAAAAACTAGCCAAGTACCACATTTTGCCAAACCAGTTATGAGATTCTATAACATTCCAAAAACATATGGGGTTTTGAAAAAGATCATTATTTCTAGTGAAAACAAAGATAATCCTCTAGAGTAGGGACTGAGCACAAGTTCATTTGCAACTAAAGTCTAACTTGACTTCACTTTCTTCATTGTCAAAAAGTTATTTTGACTTAATTATCAGTGAGACACATTTGTTTCTCAATTACATTTTCAACACATGCTGTGCAAGAATCAACACATTTAAGTTCCACTCAGAAATTCAGGCAGTTCTAAGTGAAGTAAATTATGTACCTGGCTATAATTGATGATATTTTAATTGCTTACTTTAACAAACTTATAAACATTAAACATGTTAGAAATCTAATTATTAGATTTTAATCATGACTATTTTCTAAACATTTGGAGTCTAGTTATATAAAATAAAAGCTGTGAAATATTTTATTATTCAATTTCAAGTTATTATATGTACCTGGAAATATAAAATACATTTAACACTGTTTTATAAATCAAAAATTTTCATTGATTGAAAGTAGTTTCCTTGGAATTCATGCAAAATCAGGGCAAGTTTTACTACGTTGAGAATTAATTATAAAAGATCTTACTATTTTAATTATTCAAAAACAAACTTGACTAAGGGCTATAATATTAAATTAAAGGGTACTAATATAATATACTTTATTTTTCAAGATAATTAGCTTGGACTTTACTACTGGTTGCAAATATTAGGAATACCCTGTATTCTTGAATTTTTTCATTATTAAAAAAGCAATACCCAGTTTCCCCCCAACAAATACACAGAAAAAGATCCTAAAGTATTTCAATCTAATTTTTCTTGCTTGGTTTAATACTGAAAACACTACAGGCATCTAAGAATAGGATCTTAGGCTAACTAAGTATCTTTGATTTATCCTTTTGTTTCTCTATGCCAACACAACATTCTAAACAATAAGCAATGTATGAAAACCAAATGTTTTGTCTATACGTGATTTAGGTACATATTTTCCATTTGGCACCTAACTTCTGGAGTAATTCTCAATGTAGTTGCTGACCTATATTCTTACATGTTCTATAGAAGGTATAATATACTAATTTTTCATTTTTAAAAACTAATTACTAATTTTACCTTTCAAGCAATGCAATATAATTATTCAGGTTATTTTGGATAATGACATCATACTGTCAGTATTTCTGTATTCTTTCTACCCTAAACATTTCACCTAATGCTTAATCTAACAAAAATGCTCATTTGAATCTTTCCTGTGTATCCCTCACTAAGAACAAGTGACAACAAAATTAAGACAGTTTTAACACAAGTTCAGAATTAAGATGGGCAATAAAGAAGGCATGCAAAGGCTGAACCTTCTGCAGCATCCTTTAAGAGTCTATTGTATTTTCTTTGGAACCAAAGATATAAAACAAATAAGGGAAAAAAATATATCTATTGACAACCATTTCTCTTATACATGATGGTAATGTATTTTAGAAATTCTATGTTCCCTTCAATGAAAGGAAAAAATATATACAGAATATGCTTTAAAAAAATGTTTAGTTGTAGATGAACACAACACCTTTATTTTATTTATTTTTATGTGGTGCTGAGACAGAACCCAGTACCTCATACACATGAGACAAGTGCTCCACCACTGAGTTACAGCCCCAGCCTTAGAATATGCTTTTACATGAAAAAAAAAGGAAAACTCTCACTATGCACCATTCCTTGGACACAATTTTGGCATCACCTGATTACCATTTTTAACTACAGCATTGCTTCTTCTTTTGTTTTCCACTGCTCAGGATTGAACCAGGGCCCTTGTGCAAGCTAGGCAAGCACTTACCACTGAGCAACATCCTCAGCTCACAGCATTGCTTCTTAACCACTGTTCACAAGTAAAATAAATAAGTAAATAAATAATGCAGAGTTTGTTCAGCTCAGGAGGTGGATGGGGAATTCCTGAGAATCTAATCCTCTAAAGCCCTCTTAGTCATCCAAAAGGAGAAGTAATAGTTATCTTAGATTATCCATAATTTTTTCTCTGTGCTGGCTGGAAAGGTATAAAATGGTAATCTATTTTTGCCTCAAAATTTCATATTAGAATTTTGACAATGTTTTCAAGACAAATATGCTCCATAAACCCACCTTGTATACTCTTCTTGTAACTTGTTGGGGTCACTTACAAAAAATTTGACTCTAAAGTTCAAACTGTAAGGAGATCCTCCTAGAATTAATAAAAGCAGTTCTAATTAATAAGTTTATATTAATCCTTTATCCTTATAAGGTGTACTTGCAAAACATCAAATAAATATGTATGCTCACTCTTTAGCTGCTTCCTTATTGGTTTGTTTGGATCCAGCCACCTCTGAAAAATAAATAAAGAAGACTGATTTCTTTTCTCTTTGAGTATCTAATATAGCAATTCTTGCAAATCTGTTGCATTTGAAGAGCAACACTAAGAAACTGCATTTTTGAAAAGGCTTAGGTAGAAAAAAATCATTAAATTACAAATTATTCATATCAAATATATAACAAAATTATGATAGAAATTACTGAATATATTTGTTAGCTTTAAGATTTTGATTTTAATTTCCCGTCTAAGTATCCACTGTGCAATAACCTCTATTTCAAAAGTAAAGATGCTTAGTTGCAGCAACTGGAAGTAACTTCTATAAATTTAACTATTTTATCTGGCAAGTTAAAAAAATTCCCTTCTTTCATAAATAAAATTTTGTGGCTTGATACTCTCAGACAAAATTTTAAGTACATAAGTGGAAAATAAATTTTCTAATTTCTACTCTGTTACTTTAAACTTGCCCACCCCACCTCAAAGAACCCACATATTTTCTAAGAGAAAATGTTTAGTTTGGAAACTGTGGAACCAAACTAGATGCCTTCAGTAGATGAATGAATAAAGAAAATGTGACACACATACACACACACACACACACACAATGGAATATTATTCAGCATTAAAAGAGAATAAAATCATGGCATTTGCAGGTAAATGGATGGAGTTGGAGAATATAATGCTATGTGAAGTTAGCCAATCCCAAAAAAACAAATGCCAAATGTTTTCTCTGTTTTAAGATTGCTGATTAATAATAGGCTTGGAGATGGGGGGCATGGGAGGATTAGATGTACTCTAGATAGGGCAAAAGGGAGGGAGAGGAGGAGAGGGGTCATGGCGATAGGAAAAGCGGTTGAATAAGATGTACATTACTACCCAAAGTACATGTATGAAGACACTAATGATGTGACTCTACTTTTTGTACAACCAAAGATATGAAAAATTGCATGCTATATGTGTAATATGAATTGTAATGCATTCCGCTGTCATATAAAACAAATTAAAATTAAAAAATAAATTTTAAAAATTTAGTTTGGGGAAGAACTACTTTTTGGCTGTGAGGATTTTAAGCAGTCTCAATACTTTCAAATGCCAATTAAGCTCTATTTCTGCAAAATTATAACTGAATTCAGAAAATACTTCAATTGCCAACATATTTCAGTTAAAAAAAATGGAAGAACCCAAAATTAAACAGTATTTTCAAAGCATTACAAGATATGTTATGTATCACTGTATTAAAACCTACCACCACCCATATTTGATTCCAAGCAAAGCATCGATTTACTTATTTACTTTCATACATATGTATGTATTGCTGGAGACTGAGCCTAGGTAGTAAGTTCTCTGCCACTAAGCTCCCAGCCCCATTAAAATTTTAAGAAACAGCTGGAAATATACCAAGAATTTTCTTCTTCATTATCTGTAATATGTTGATTCTACTGTCAAACTATACCTAGAACTGAACAAAATTTTTCCATCTACTCTGCCACCATCCATATTTCTAGTGTAGGCACTGCCCATAGCCCCTTGTTTTTGGTACCAGGAATTGAACCCAGGGATGCTTAACCACTGCCACATCCCCCGCTCTTTTTTACATTTTATCTGGAGATGGAGTCTTGCTGAGTTGCTTAAGGCCTCACTAAGATGCTGAGGTTGGCTTTGAACTCCTGGTCCTTCTGTCTCAGCCTCCCAAGCCACTGGGCCATACCCTTTGTTTTTTTTTTTTTTTTTAAAGAGAGAGTGAGAGAGGAGAGAGACAGAGAGAGAATTTTAATATTTATTTTTTTTTTTTTAGTTTTCAGCGGACACAACATCTTTGTTTGTATGTGGTGCTGAGGATCGAACCCAGGCCGCACGCATGCCAGGCGAGCACGCTACTGCTTGAGCCACATCCCCAGCCCCACGGGCCATAGCCTTTTAATTGCTTTCTCGGTTTCTTTTTTCTCTCTCTTTGATCTCCATCTAGAAACTACTGGTCTTTTAACATAAACTTGATTGTGTCAATCTTTTGCTTTAACATCTCCTGATAATTTCTCAATGTAAAGGTCCAAAGTCCTTACTATAACTTGAAAGGTCTCTTCTTATCTTTTCCACTTTTAATTATTAAGTTCTAGCCATAATGGCCTCCTTCCTGTTTCTCAAAAGATATCCTTAGGGTCCTCAATTTCAATCCTCCACTTCATGAAATGCTCCTCAGCTTTGCTATGGCTGGCTTCTTCCTCTGTATTAATTTAAACCTTATCTCCTCAGAAGGAGCTCCTTCACTGACCACTCTACCCAAAGTATGTCACACAGCTCCCAGTTACTCAGTTATTTTCTATAAACAAGCAGGAAACATTCAACTTTTATAACATCTTCTCAATTACAGTATGTTCGGTTTTCCATTTTGTTATCTCTTTCATTAGATTATAAACTGTAAGAGGTCAGGGATAAAATCTTGTTTCAGTCCTGAGGAATAATATTGGCCAAATCATATTATTATATTGTATATAAGTATGAATATGTAACAAAAAATCCCATCATATGTACAACTATAATGTCCCAATTAAAAAAAATAAGGGGAAAAATCTGTTTCAGTCAACATAAGATAGTCAGAACCAAGAACAAGGTTTGGCATATAATATGAATAAAAATATTTATTGAAGACTGTCTAGGCATGAATGATTCAACAGTTGGGGGTGTGGCATAACTATTCCATTGCAAATAGTCTCCCGGTTTTCAGCCCTGTTTTAACACATTTGTTTATGCTATTTATCTACCCATTTATCTTTTTACCCATATATTAATCTAGTAATTTTTTTTCATATTTTCTATGAAAAGTAGTAAACTACATTTACTTTAAAGGTTGTTAAAAATCAAAATTAGAATCAAATAATTTATCCAAAGCCTGAGTTCCTCATTCAGTTTCCCTTCAAAATATTCTGAATATAAGAAAAACAATTACATACACAAACAGATGTGGTAAACTGTCATAGCTTTAGAAGGAGTACAAGGATAAGTACTAAGAAACTTAACAGCCCTCATCAGTGATGTCAATGACATATGACTCAAGATTCTTATTTTTAACTTCAAAGATGGAGCAAAGCTGTAACAAGTACTACTGGACAGCAATGATAGTATTCATGATAAAAATACATCCTTCAGTCATGATGCTGACTCATAATGGCGATGCGTGGGGGAGCATGGGAGGAATGGAGGAATTTTAGATAGGACAAAGGGGAGGGAGGGGAAGGAAAGGGAAATGGGGTAGAAGATCCACCAAGTACATGTATAAAGAAATGACTGGTGTGAAAATACTTTGTGTACAACCAGTGACTTGAAAAATTGTGCTCTATATTTGTAATATGAAATGAATTGCATTCTGCCGTCATATATAACAAATTAGAATAAATAATTTAATTTAAAAAGTACATCCCTCGGTCAAAAGAAAAAGTAGGTAAAAGATAACATAAAGAAGTCCTACATATCAATAAGAAAAAGACAAATGTTAACAAAAAAAAAAAATCAATGAGTAATAGATGTTCATACTTAATAAAATGGCAAAAAATTTATGAAAGATGTTCAATCTGGATCATAGAGAAATAAATCACAAATCTACATCAGATTATTATTTTATTCTTTCTTTCTAATTTTTTTTTTGGGGGGGAGGTGATGTAGGTGGTAACTAGGGATTTAAACCAGTATGCTTTACCAATGAGCTATATCCCCAGCCCTTTTATTTTTTATTTTGAGATGGGGGTCTAAGTTGGTGAGGCTGACTTCAAACTTGCAATCCTCCTATCTCAGCCTCCTGAGTTGCTGGGATTGAGGGCACACATCACCATACCCAGCTAGGTTATTACTTTTCAAAAACAACACGGACAAAGACTAAAACTTTTGATCACATACCACAACACCAAGAACATGATAAAAACAGGTACCCTCATCCATAGCTTCTTAAGAGTATAAATTGTACCATTTTGATAGAGGACAATTTGGCAATATTGATCAAAAGATAAAATGCATATGACCACAGACCCAGGATAAATTTTTATATAGCATTCTGAGATGTATTCAAGACCATAAAATTTTCCTATTTTAAAGTATATATTATTAGTATATTCACTACATTGTGCAACCATCACCACTAATTCCAGAATATTTTCATCACACTCCCCCAAAATCTATACTTATTAATAATCAGTCTCATTATGACCCTATCCATAAATTACTTTCTGTTTCTGGATTTACTTATTTTGGACATTTCATATAATAGGTGGCCTTTTTTGTTTTCAGTTTGCACTTAGTATGTTTTCAAGGTTTATCTATATTGTAATATGTCTTTTTTATGGCTAACATTTGAGCTATTTTGTTTTATGCTACTGTGAATATTAATGCTATGTACAACTATGTACAAGTTTTTATGTGAACATGTTTTCACTTCTCTTGGGTATAAGGCCTAAGAGTAATATTGTTAGGTCATATAGTAACTTTATATTTAACTTTTGAGAAACTGCCAAACTTATTTCTCTGGTGGCTGTACCTTTTTACACCCTCATCCTCAATGTACAAGGGTTCTAATTTCTCCACCTCCTCATCAACATGAGCTTTTTATTTATTTATTTTGAGAAAACATCTTGTTATATTGCCCAGGCTAGCCTCAAATTCCTGAACTAAATTTGGTCCTCCTGCCTCAGACAATCAAGTAGCTGGGACTGTAGGCATATACCATCATGCCTACCAACATGAGCTGTTTAATTCGCCATCCTAGCGAATGATCAGTGGTATGCCATTCCTTTTTACTGCTGAATAAAATTCCATTGTATAGATATACTACTTTTAGTTTATTCATTCATTACTTGATGGACATTTGGACTTTTTCTACTGTGTAGCTGTTTTGAATAATTCTACTATAAACATCTTAATACAAATTTTTATGTGTGGATATATATTTAAGTCTTGGGTACATATCTAGGAGTGTAATTTCTTACAGAAACTGTTTCATTACATCTTGAGAACAAGTATTATAAACCCTT